AGCTATTGATGATTATGTAGTTGACCTGCCCCTCCTCTGTCCATTACATCATCTGCATGTGTGTGTGTGTGTCTCTACATGGCATGGGCAAGGACACATCTATGGGAATGCATGTGTAGATTTTTGCTCAGCTGCATGCATGTGCATATACCTGCGCGTTAGAGGGCTTGTTTTGCAGGGTTATAGTGCACTGTGTGGCTCAGTCCTGCACTCTCATGATGGTCCTTGGGGAAATCAATCAGCTGCCCTGTGTGGCTGGTGACGGTGCATTCTCCAGGAGGAAGAGATGAAGGGAACAAGTGAGGGGAGGAAAAGATGTGCTTATTAGCTAATCTAAGAGGGGTTAAAATCTCCCACATTTCTTCCTCTGTCCTAACTATATAAAACACACTTCTTCCCCTTCCTCCCCCTCACCTCCCCCCCTAACAGAGATAAGGCAAGCGGATCTCTATTTGACAGGATACCGCGGAGTCGATGTCTGCCATACGTGAGTGTTGCCCTAGAGTGTCGTCTAAATGGACAGCTTAGTTTGGATTAGTTGGACTAACAGCAAACATCTTGAGAGGCAGGGAGGTCACCACGACTGGGTATGGATGCGCATGTGGCAAGAGTACAGTGTCCATATGTTGTAAATCCTTCCCTGGGGGACAACACATGCAGGCCTTCTTTTGGAAAGTAGAAAGTACACATTATTAAAAGATTTAACATTGCAATCCACCTCTGATCTCTGAAAACCCAAACTATGTTTGATGAAATTTCAATTGCAACCTCAAACCTCTTATAGATAAGTGTTTAACAAATGCATTTGAAAGGTCTAAATTTAAATGTTCCTTGGGAATACTCGCTGAACATTCACATCAGTGGATTTATGCAGGTATTCACCAGACTGTGTCTTTCCTCTGGCCAGTATGTGTTGTAGCAGCATGCGGTCCAGCAGTCCTAAAGTATCAGTTAAAGACATCCAAGGGCCTTTCAACACCATGACCCCACCGAGAGAAACATTCGCCTGAGAATAGACCCTGGCACAGCAGGGGCAGCCAATACCATGGGGTAACCGTCGCAGGGGAATTACATGGTCACAGTCAAAACATATACAGAATTTGCATGTGATTTTGTTGGAAAGGCAGCATCAGGCTGCAATTTCTGGCAATTTGTTCAGCTATTTGCACAGGTATGAGGAAACGTACATACACAAACAAAGAGATGTGGTGATACAGAAGTGTGTGTGAGAGAGGGAGGGCTTTAGGGAGTACTGTAACAGTAGGTCCTCTCCTCGCCACCAAACTGCTAGCTTCATCACCCACAGGAATAACAGTTGGGTACACACAATAGCCTTGCGCATAAAGACACACAAATAGCACACTGAGAACTATTGTAAAGCGCAACGCATGGGGAGAAGAACCCTATAACACTTTCTAACATCCCGAATGACAATGCCAGATGTCAACCTACAAGCAGATTTACTCCTTTCAGCACTGTTGCATATGAATCGGCCTAAAAGAAGAGCCTGGCAGTCCATCAGAGGTTAAATAGTTCAAACAGGGAAGGAAATCGTGTTTTTTTAAGTTAATTAGGATATATAGATAGATAGATCGACCCTATGTGACTTTAAGCTCACGTATACAGTAGATTTTATAATGGTAACTTTGGGGGTTGCTGGGGGTTATATGGGGTATGAGTGTGTGTGTGTGTGTGTGTATGTGTGTGTGTGTGTCGGGGGGCGGCAGGCCCAAATATGTTGCCCCATGGGACCACAGTGGAACCTCACACCAGCCCCCACAGAGAAGGATAAGGCCATCTGCCCCCCTCACGCATCAATCCCACCTAGAAGAAACACACACACACACACACATACACTGAGTGCTGGGTAGAAATAAGGAGAGGCTTTGCAGACAGTGTTTGATCTGCCTTTCATCCAGTCAGCAGCATGCAGGCCACTGAGCCTCTCTGTGTGTCTCCTGCTTTACTGTCCACTGTCCCAGTGGAAATCACCAGCCGATAACAACAGCTCCAACCTAACGCATGAATGGCAGGGCACAAGCCGATCAGCCTCATCTCTTGACAGGAGGGGGGCACAGGTCAGTGGACCCATTCACTTAACTCAAATGTTTCTTTAAAGGCAGAAGTCAGACAGATAACATGCCACTGTGATGTGACGGAGTTCTGACGAAATTCTCACGACGAAATAAGGCAGGTATTAAAACTGCAGCAAAGCTAAACCAAATATGCACATAAAACAATCTAAAAAAAAACAAGGCAAGGCATGTTCATTTGTTTATCCCATTTCAAACTAAAGCAATTCAAAGGACTTTATATAAGGCGAAGAAATGCATTTGAAAATACGACAAAAAGGGGAAAATCAATTCAAATAAGATCAAATAAGATCAAATAAAATTAAATACAACATAAAACAGAAGGCCAGAAATGCAGTCATACTGGAGTTACAGTTACTGCTCCAAATGCAATAAAGGAACTACAACACCTTGGTACAACAACAAAAATGGTAGGAAATGTCCAACTCTAATATATATATAACATTAAGCATATCGCATTAAAAAGTGCCTTTATCTTTGAAAAATAGATAAAGTGCGTTTCACTGTTTCAGGTTTCTCCTTTATCTTCATCATTGCTGAGTTTTCATGTGGTTTGAGGCCAACTGAGTCACAGATGGACGGAGAGCTGGTGGTGGTTAGACTTTATGAGTCCACTCAGCTGACAGGCTGAGGCCTGTCTGGAACGAGGGGATAGCCTCAATATCATCCAGACTACCACATACACACACATACACACACACACACACACACACACACACAAGCTACACTGACAGCTATTAGGCAATCAATGGAAACTAATACATCAGAGCATTTGACCACTCAGCTCCACTAGCTTAGCAGACAGAGAGGAAGAGAAGAAATCTATCAATCACACCATATGAAGAAGAAGTAAGAATTTAATCGAGCAAAAGCAATCTCCTCTATGTATCAATAGACATTACAAATTAATAACAACATCAAATTCAGTTGTGGCCGCATTTCTGGGCTGACTTGAGTGACATTGTTTTGGAGAGAGTTATGGCTGTTTGCCTCAACCTCAGAGGGAATTAACCTCAGCCTAAACCTATGCCATAAAACTCCAGTACTCCTATCATTAATATCACATTAATATAGAGATTAATCTGATGGATGCCCCTCCAGAGGCCCTGTTAACTTGCCAGGAGGTTAAGTGTGAAATCAATCTGTATAAACGACCTGGATAAAAATTCTTCCATGCTGGAGCGTTGAGTCCTAAATCAGCCAATCAAAGAGGCGCTAGTAAAACCAGTCTTTTAGCACAGTTCGCTAACAATCTCAGTATTTCAGTTCTGGCAGCTCATTCTCCGTTTTGCTCCTTCTGTCTCTCTTTTTGTCTTTGTTTCTTGTCCCATCCTTCTCCTCCACCCCTCCGCTCCAGGAAGGCCACAAAGGGGAGTATCCGCTCTTTTCACGGCAGGCCTCTCGTGGAGGCTTGGGGGTTGTATACATGGGAGGCACAGGTCCAATGAAGGGTGATCTACACTTGTTCAAGCATCCATATTCCGGCTATTTGAAGGGAGATGGAGGCTGTTAAACATTCAGCGAGGAGGTGACCCCTGACCCTGAAGGCTGCTGCCCATGCGTTACAGAAAATAAACAGAGAGGCTGGGCAGAGCGGTGCTGACTTTACTGCCCTTCTCCCTGCAGACAGGCCAGAAAGAAGTACAGAATAGAAGAGCAGGAAGCTTAATCTTCAGGCCATTATCACTCTGATGTGATAGCTAAATGTGCATATTTCAAATCCACATCATGCAGGATGAAACACCTGTTTCGTCCTTTATTTCATGGAAAGTGACAATGCCATTTTCTCAATAACTTTCCTTCTTACTTGCCTTTTTCACTTTATTCTGTTGTCCTACTGCTTGAATCTCTTTTTTTTTTTGCAACATTTGTCACATCTGACTACATGCCGTCAGATTGAAGTATGGTGACCCAGAGGTTAGCGGTGACATAACAGAGCACTGGGGCAAAGGCTGGACACTGTGTCATCTGTCAGACCCCATGCTGCTGCCACCACCACTACCAATTGGGGCTTTCCTCAAATTAACCCCAACACACACACACACACACACACACACACACACACACACACAATATGCAAATGACCATCAATCTATCTATCTATCTATCTATCTATCTATCTATCTATCTATCTATCTATCTATCTATCTATCTATCTATCTATCCCAGGCCAACACATGTGGGACAGTTGGTGACAGTGTGAGGGCAGATGTCAGTCATGGCAAGCTCCTTTGTGCATGGGGCAATAGACCACCTCACTGCTGCACTCTATTGTAATTCATTTGGTCCAGTAGGGTTTGTTCATTTTTACTGTGACCACACAGCCTCTTGGCTACATATAAGCACAGTAGAAAGTGGAGGCATAAAAAGGGACACATGCAACGAACCTGCAGGCAAAATGCAGGATCCAAACACACACACACACACACAGGTATGCATGCAACTGTCCGGAAAATGTGAACCAAGACACCATCATGAAGCATTAGCTGAATTATTTAACAACTGTAAGCTCTCTTTCTTAACTGCACTGATGGACATAATTGACACTTTTGAGAGAAGAAGAAGACACACAACAAAATAAAAAAACAAAATATCATAGCTGATCAAAGTGTAATTGTTTTCATTGAACTGTTGGAGTAAATAAAATCTCTGCTTGTTACAACAAAGTCTGTCAAAAATCATTAGTCTTGTCCTCAAAATTACAATTTACAAGGATTTTGTAAATATTATAGATTCTAAAAATTAATGCAGCCCAGAATGAAAGTGTTATCTTAATTTGTTTTTTATAATCATTTTATGGAAGTGGGAAAGAAACCAAAACCAACAATCTTGTTTCCATGCGCTGATTTTTTTTATTATTTATTAATAAAAAGCACACACTGATAGAGAACAAACGAGGACACTTTCGATTGCCTTTGCAGCAGTACATTACAGTAAAAAATATTATCATACATTATAAATTAAGAGAGAGTTTAACGTTGATTTTGTACACAAATAGGCTCAAATCTACAATGATACAAATACTTTGCTTTTCAAGCATTAGTCGATGCAAGAAAACCCAGCGTAACAACAACAACAACAACAATAATAATAATAATAAACTGTGGTTATTACTATAATTGAATCGCATTGGGTTCATTAAATCATTGAAGTGAAACCTTTAAGCCACAAAACGACAACATATTTTAACATATTATAAATAGATTTAGACACATTTTGCCAACAATTTAAATTAGGATGAGCCTATTTAAATAGGCCTGCTACAGAACAACATATATTTTTTCTTAAGCAGCAATTACATAAAGAAAAACCACGAGATCCTACCTTACAGGCCTTATTTATTTATCTCTCATGGTATTACCACAGTGTTCATGTATATATTCAGTCTTCCTGGGATATCTGCGTCTTCTAAAATATCACACACGGTTAGAACCAGTCCTACAGTTTAGCTCGTGTAGACTAGTTCCAGGGCCGATATTCTGGATTTAAAACTGTTAACCCGGTGTAAGGGAGGTTCTGTCCGGCGTTTTTCTGTATTTTAGGATAGTCCTTCGCTGGAAACACGGAGTCCTCCTGTAATCCAGACGGAGGAATTTTGCTGTCCAAGACTTCTGCAGAGCAAGAAAAATAGCTCAGTAAATCACCAGCTTTCAAGGCGGAGACATTTTCATTTTTGCAGACCTATCATATTTATCCCTCTGAATTGATAAACTAAAGACTAAAATCTGCTTGTTACTTATAAACCAACACAATAATAAACAACTACATTTCTAAAAAGCATTCATTTATACACAATGTCCCACATCTTTGGCAATAACACTTTCGATTTCCTTACGGGACAATAATCTAAACGCTATTTCATTTCTATTCTATTCTATTCTAATACTCATTTTTAAATAGCCTACTTCTTATATATATAGATGACGACTTCGAACTTTATCCTCAATATAAAAAGGTAAAAAGAGACTTCATGCGAGTCTGCCTTTAATCCTAAATTCAATTAAGGCCGGAAACAACAGCAAATTTCTTACTTTTATGACTTTTCGTGTGGTATTGAAGCTCCTGTTCCTCTTGAAATGAAACCCCGCACAGGCTGCAGGAATAGGGCTTGTCCTTTGCGTGGGTCCGCCGGACGTGGCTGTCGTGGGCGGCGTGGGAGGCGAAGGCCTTCCCGCAGTGCTTGCACTTGAACGGCCGCTCTCCGGAGTGCTGGCGGATATGTGTGCGCAGAATACTAGAGGCGGTGAAGGCCTGGAGGAGAAGGAAGAGGGCACAAAACAACCGGTGAGGATGAGATTTTCATTTGTCTTTATGTTCAATTCCCAATTTCGGCAACAAAAGGATGGCACTAAATGGTTTAAAACCACAGTTTGTAAACAGCAATAACAAAAAAAAGACCATGGCCAATTTTATTTTACCGTTTAAAAACTTTATGTAACGGTTATTGAGTAAAAAAATGATGTGTTTTTATGTGTTTTTATGAAAGCCGAGCGCCTCTCTCCAAAATGCCTGTAAACGTCACGTGTCCAGATAAAGGAGGAAAGGTTAAACAAAACCTTCTCCGGGGTGCATAAAAAAGGGAGGATGTGGAGAGAGAGAGAGAGGGAGAAAGAACAAAAACACGTCTGCTCATTCAAGAGCCGTAAATAAAAGTATAATCTCGGCAGACAAAAGGATGGGTGTGCATCTGGCGATAATTAGCGTGTAAGTGTCTCCGCGGAGCGTGCCCACCGAGAGGGACAATAATGAGGGGCTCGCGCCAAATGCACCGTGACACGAGGAGGCAGTAAGTGGATCCAAAATGCTGCGGGTTTAGAAGAAGAGAAGTAGGGAAGAGTAGGAGAAGCCCTGCAGGTCCTGTAGGCTACTACTTATACAACCAGAGGGAGGGAGGACTAAAAAAAATAAAAGCCTTTTACAGGCTACTTGTTGGGTTTCTGTAAATAACATCACAGAGTACGGTCTAGACCTGCTCCTTTATGAAAAGCGCTCTGAGATAACTGTTGCTGTGATTTGGCGCTATATAAATAAAATTGAATTGAATTGAATACTTCCTTTAGTGGAATGTCTCAACCTGAAGCATTGCTGGAAATTTCTCTTTATAGTGTTTGTTGTAGCTGTATGGTTAAATGATACACTGTAGCCTATGGCCCGTGGTTCTTCTGTGCAGGCTTCTTACCTTATTGCAGTAGACACACTTGTACGGCCGCTCTCCAGAGTGCACACGCATGTGTTTGTTGAGACTGGACGACTGCGAGAAACTCTTCCCGCATACAGAGCACTGGGGATCAGACAGATAAGACATCAGCATGAGTGAACGTTATTTAGTCATTTAAATATGTCATAATGTTTGAAGAAAGTGAGCTAACCTAAACTCATTTACATTTTGTCCAGAGCTTATCCAGGTCTGATTTTGGTCTATTATTTATGAATAATTGGATGTTTCTATGGGGGGGGACCACGAATCGGTATTCTTTTAAGAAAAACCTTGTTTAGTTGCGATGCTTTATCTCCTACTACAAGTCTTTCAGTGATTTGCTATTTTAATGAGGGCTAATAAAAGGCTGAAACATCCGATTCTAAGGTAAGCTGTGGGGAGCTGTTCTTTCAGCACCACGCAAACTTTTGCTTTGCACCTATCCATACTGCCTCATGCAGTGGCGTAATGGTCTGCAGGCTGTAATAGGCTACAGCTATGGTACGTTCCAGTAGAATCAACATAGGCCAACTATACGCACGCGCACTGTATCCGTACCTTGTGAGGCCTGTGTTTTTCGTGAACGTGCAAAATGTGGATCCTTAATCTGTCTCTCTTCTCGAAAGATCTGTTGCAGAGGTGACAGGGGAACTTCCTGTCGCCCTGGTCCACGCAGCGCGTGTACTTCAGATGCTTGTCTCGGTAGTACTTGTATGCAAACACCTTCCCGCATCTGTCACACTTGAAACCCTCACCAGAATCTAGAGAAGACAAAAAAAAACATGTTTAGTGTGATGGTAAAACTAATCAAAGAGGCGTTGATTAAAACGAGAGTCAAATCAACATTCTGACCTTCAGCTGCGGGAACCACGTTGCTGTCCTCTCTGGAGTCCTTCAGGGTGAGGGGGATGCCGAGGAACTGCATGTAGCAGTCTCCGTACCACACCAGCAGCTCCTGTCCAGGCAGGATCTCTTTGCAGGCCTCATAGAAGATCTGACCCTGGACCTGTACAGCAATTAGGTTCTGCTCATCTGGGAAGCGAGCACACTTCACTAAAGACATCCAGTTTCCCGAGCCTCCCCTGCCGTCCACGAAATGACTCAACCGGCCGTTTTCAAACACCTGCAGGAGGAAAAGAGTGGCCTCACATTAGATTTGAGTTAAAACGACTATACTCATTTCTTAGGCTAGACCGGACTTGGAACATGACTCTGGGAGCAATTTCAACACATTACCTCCCACATCAGGGTGTTGTCGTCGTAGGTTTTAATCTCGCTTGTATTGACCAGCTTTCCTTGGAAAGGTCCGAAGCGCGTCCCTTTAGGGATGCTGTTTTTGTCTGTGAAGACCCCATGGTGCGAGATGTTTCCCCAAGCTGCCTGGAGGATGGTTAACCCTGCGACACAGTGACAAAAACAATGTCAAGTCTCATCATGAATTCAATGTCTCGCGACGGAATATAGGTGATTTATGAAAAGAAAGCTGTCAGGTCTTACCCTCTGGAAGTTCAAGCGTTTCTTTGTCCAGTGGGAGAATGTGAGAGTCCAAAACTGGAAAAGGAAACAAACACACATGAGCTCATTTGTTTGTTAATCCCATTTCTGGGGGAAATTCAGCAGTTTATGATAACTAATGATAAGATTGATAAGAAGCTAGATTGTTAGACATATAGTCAACATACAGATGTCCATGTGTTTTTTTGACATTTCTGGAAATTTTGGCTTGCATGATAGACTATACCGTTTTAATTAAAACTAAATGAACATCCAATAACTTTTGCAGAAGTCTCACCTGACTTTTCCGGCAGGGCCAGTCCTGATATAGCATGACCCATGTTTCGCTCCTGGCCGCTGGAGTAACCGTAAAGAACCATGAACAAGTCGTCCTCGCTAAAATTATAAGACGTGAGCGTTTTTTCTGGCGACAGGTCTGCGCCCCGGAGGCGAAACAAACTCTCCTTGGGCGGTGAGGTGGCGGAAGAAGAGGACCTTTCACTGGACGGGCTGCTGAAGTCCGAGGAAAGCGGGCCAGCGGCGTGCTCGGTCACCACAGCGGCCAGCTCCTCCGGTTTGGAGTACAGCGGGTGTCCGGGCAACATCTGGCTCAGGTAGGGGATGCCGGAGGCGTTCAACATGTGTTCGTGCAGGACCGAGGCGTGGTGGCTGCCCTGGCCGAGGAACGGAGGGGCTCCGCCTTGCAGGCTGAGCTGCAGGGGCGCCTGAGTGTCGGACACCAGGCGACCGAGAGACTTGAGCGGGTGGAGGAGGCTATGAGTCCGCGGGAAGAAGTCCAAGTAGTGGTGGGGGCCGGGGAGAGGGGCAGGGTAGAAGCCGCGAGCGGGACTGCCCTTCAGCATGCCGCCATGGTAGCTCTTGTCCTTCAGCACTACAGGGATGCTGGACAGGGACACCGACATGTCAGCACGGAGGTGAAGCAAAGGTTCAAATGGAGATGGTAGTGTATCCTTCAGTGGGTGAGAGAGGGGGAGAGAAGAGGGGGGTGGGACAGGGAGTGGGGGGTGAGTTATAAAAGTTTAATGCAAGAAATCTAAAAAAGGAAACATGACATCAAGACAGGTTGACCACACCTGAATTTGTGATTTAAATTGGACTAAGCCTTTACTCGTCATTCAATAGTGTCATTTCCCCTAACAAAACAGAGCCAAAACAATTGTAAGCAAACTTAGTGTTGTCATTTTAGATAACCCTCGATTGAAATATTATGTAAATTAACGCGTTATTTCCTCTAAATGAATAATATAACAATATTTTTGAATAAATTACTTATAAAACAACACCATCTGAATTTAAAATGATGCGGCGTACATGCCTACCCGCAGATGAAACTATTGGGCAAATAGTGAACAAAGCTATTGCATAATAAGCAAAAGCAATCCACGGTGAAATTGGACAGCCGATTTTGCAATATTTCCAGCTGAGAGGACACACACCAGACACACTTCAGATGTTCATCAGGGGCTTTAAATGACTGCCTGGGATATGGCGTGTTCTTTTTGGGAACCGTTTACCAATCAGCCAGTAAATAGAGAGACAAATCAGGGTCATGACACTAATTAAAGAACAGTCGGTCGGAGCAGAGGTCAACATTAATGGAGCTTGTTATAGACTTTACAATTAACGTACAGTCATTGCAAAAAAGCAAAAAGCAAAAAAGTCATCAGCTGTAGATTTGTTGGGGCAATATGTGGGCTCAAGGAAATTATAATTAAGAGAAATAAAACAATGATTTGAAATAGAGAAAATTAATGAAAGGGAATTGAGACAGGAGTATGTCATGCTTCGTGCGTAATTTCAAACCAATGATTAAACAAAGTTGACTTCTTAATCCTATAATATTATTTTAAAGAATATACGAATATAGCCTACAAACAGGCCTATCACTAACTTAGTGGGCACTACAGACTGTAATGTCCTGTATAAATACACAGCAATGGGCTGTTTCAGTGATTTTCCATAAACTGGAAGACAAACTTACCTTGTTAAATAAATGAGAGATGTTTCACACTGAAGTTGTCTCTGTCATGTCCGCAGTTTGAACAACCCCCTCGTGTATAAAATCAAACACAGCAGACAAATGTCCAAATTGTGCAGGTATAAGCCCAGCAGGTCGAAACTTCAGTGCGTATGGGCCGCAGGGACCTCTCTCTCTCTGTCTTTATGTTGGTCTGTGGTCATCTGAGGGCACCTATACTGTACACAGTCAGGGCTGCCGGAGATGCTCCCCATGCCTTCTCCCTATTGGCCAAGATCAGCTCAACCTCATACATCTCAATGCCCCCATAGGAATACATTTTCTCAGGGACAACCCACCCCTTTAAAACCTCTCCACATCAGGCTGCTTTCCCCCGTTACAATGAGGGTGATTGAGTGAGGTTCCCAAACATTTCCATACCAGGACCCCCACCCCACCCCGATACGATTTTATCTAAGAGACCCCCAGTGGAGTATAGACATGTGTTGTTATGACTTGAGTGTGGTGAATTAGGAAGAGAGAAAAGAATGGTCGGAATAGATTATCGGCTACAGGCCTAGGCCTACATCTCTATCATTACACCAAACTTCACTGAGAAAATAAATAAAACTGAAACGAATCTGTATTAATACATGGTATAATTTAGACCGCACACTACAGTGTGTTTTCTTGTTGACTATATTTTGAATGCATTTTCTTATTGGGTTTTGTTTAAGACATTTGTATAGGGTGAAGTCAGCTAAAATGGGCCACTTTTTGGTAAATGCCTAATAAGACCATCTAATAAGCTATGCATGCAAAAAAGTGAAAAAGTATAATTGTTTTGTAATTATGAGGATTTGAATATCAGCATGTTATCGGATCTCAGGCAAAATGGGCCAGCTGCCTAGGTTAAATGTAAAGAGAGAACAATGCAGTCATTTTAGCTGAAATCATGAAATCGCTAGTTTAGTGAGCTTAAAAAGTACCCAAAATGACTATTTTCACAAAAATCTAAGTTTCTTTACGAATTTGAGCTAGGCCTATTTGAAAGAGCCTGGCAAAACATTTTTCATAAAAATTTCGCTTTGTTGGTAAGGTTATTTATAATTGCCTTATCACCCTTATTAGTGATGAGCGAAATTTACGCTCATTTTCCATAGTATTTCTCTGTAGGCTACTTCATGCAGGCTGTGCCCCACCGACTATATAAATCTCAGACCAATTAAAAATATTACTACTACTACATGTTAACTAGTGTTGTAACAACAATTCAAAATCAGTATTTGTGCTGTAAAATTTTGGAGTGCTATAAAGCTCCAAACTTATTTGGCCCATTTTAGCGGACCTCACCCTGTAGGCCTAAAGGCTCACAGGGCGGTGCAAGCTAGCGCGGGTATAAAAAATGCTGTAGCCTATGTGTCCCTAAAACACAAGATAAATTGGTAGGTATCCTGTCACAATTAAGTTTACATACCAATTAGTGTAGCCTGGGTAGGCCATTCGCATTAGCCTGCTGGCCTGTAACCAAATCGAAAACTCGCTAAAGTAGCCTATATTTCTGAAGGAATTTGCAGCGAGTCTGTAGGCCTAGTGATTTTTGAGTAGGCCTAAGGTAAACTTTATAGGCTATTTCTAATGCATTATCTTAAAATGCAGTGTTCTGTTAAAACTCATTACAGTTGGTTATTTGCATATTGTGTTCTTTATTGACTTTCGATAAGGCTGTTGGTTCGTTTAAGAAGACGACGACAGTGACAACATTAGGCCTATCACTTCCTTGTTGTTTCTGACAGTTACAAAGCTAAACACAAATCCTTTTCGTGCATTTTTATAGGCTATGTAGAAAAGAAAATGAAAGGTAGCCTACATGAGGGCCTTTAAATGTTTTTTTTAGCTCAAACCTTGGCTCTTCACTTTCAATCAAATAAAAGATGAGTCACTCGATTAAATACTGCAATAACATAATTCTTTATTTACAAGGCAAATAGCATCAGCGAAGCCATATTAGTTCACAACTTGCATAACTGTGGTTTTTAAGTTCTCTTGAATATCTAATTTTGCATAAAACGCTCACACACACGCGCGCGCACACACACACACACACACACACACACACACACACTAGGGGTACAAAGATGGATGCGGGTATACAGTGTGATTCCTGTGAACAATGCAGAAAAAAAAATCTCGGGAAAACACAATAGGCTTTCTTCAGAAAGTCCATATAGTATATTACATATTGCTTCAATATCCCTATGTATAATCTTTTCCATACAAACACTGAGGGGGGGGGAAATGAAATAACAGAGTCTTCAACCCAACACAGAACAGAGAGCAATGATGAGGGACAGGTTTAACCTTGACCTAGTCTCCACCAACTGGTGCACCCATTCAATATTGTACATAAGTCATTATACAAATTTATACAGACAGCGGTGTATTGTACAAGAACGAGAACGGACGAAATCTAAGGCATTATGCTAGGGGTTTTAGCATTTCAAGGTTGCATCTTAGCTCTAAGAAATTGGCAGACAATACAAAAGGGCATTTAAAGTTCTTCAAAACCATAAGTTAAAGACAAAAAATATTTGTTTAGTGGGTCCGAAGCCTGGATATTTGTAAAGGGGCAAAATCATTTATTTGCACCTGTCCTCATTATAAATGCTATAAAATGCATTGCTACCACATGGCTTTGTATCTTTTCAAAATCTTGACAATCTTTGGAAATTTGCAAAGGGCTGTGAATCATTCTTTAAAATGTCTCAAAAAGGCTTCTTCTGCACGACTGTATGATACAATCAAAACAGCATTTATCAAAACAAAAAAGTGTGATCTCCTGTAGGCCTACAGCAAAACAACTGCAGGACATCTGCAATGATGACAACCAAAACAATAATGCAGACTTTCCTTTGTCCAAAAGTTGACTTGCTACAGCTTCAAATTTCATTTACAACGTCATAAGTTTAAAAAAAAGAAAAAGAAAAAAAAGAAGCAACAATGGGAAAATTCCTACCTACATGCTGAGAAGAGCATAGTGTAACTGTACAACACCACGTTGACAATAACACCATCAGTCACATCCTTAGCATGACAATACATTCAGAATGATTCTTTCCTGTTTGATGCAACATCTACATTAGACCCTGTTTAGTGACATCATAAATTTCTTGTTTTCTGTGGGCCTCAAAGCATGCTAACCAACAGGTCGTCTCTCACTAGGAAAATAAAAGCTGGTAGAATTTCAAATCCAATTGAAAGGTGAGGATTATTTGGCTTGCTCCAAGTCTGTCCTGGGTTAAAATAGTTATAAAAAGTTTTGCTTTTTGAGGAAAGTGTACTTTTGAGGTTAGAGAAGATGACATGCTTTAGTTCTTGTGAAGGTCAAACCAAACCCCTACTGGGGCACAAGAATAGCACGTCATTACTAAACACTTTGTAGTTGAACTAACTGCCTGAGGTCATAAAATATGGCTAAGTGTCTGTCAGAGCAGGTCTCATGAACCGTGCAGTCTTAACTCTGACCTCTGCTATAGACGACTGGCTGGAGGCAGAGAGGGCGTGTGTCAACAAGGGGACCACAAACTACTTCCCTCTCCAGGCCTCAGCCAATGCTGCATAATCTAATAGGAACGCTGTGTGTGGATGTAGACTTTCTTGGTACAAACTGCAATAAAAAACTGTGTTTAATACTGCATCCAAACGTGGAGCAAAAAGGTATCCTTTTTATTCAGGAAACTGTACAAAAATTACAAAAAGAAAAACACAAATAAAACCCCAAGAGTGTCTCAAGTAATCATTATTGCTTGTTTACATCACACCAGAACAGTTTGCACCTAGCAGCTTGAATGAAGCATTTTTCACTCCAGACAACATAGAAAGCACACTTCTGTTAATTTTTTTTTGAGTTATTGTATGGCTGTATTGAAGTTGTCAATTTTTTTCTTCTTCTTTGTTGTGGTGTTCTATGCTAAAGGCAGAGAAGCAAGCGATAATCTGTACACTGTATACACAGCACACCCCCCTTACAACCCTTATATCCCACCCCCACCCGTCTGCATCGTACCAGAACATCAGAACGTGAAGGCTCCCACTCCACTTCCCAAAAACAAACAAAAAAACAAACAAAAAAAAAACCTGCTCTGCCTCAAGAGGCAGTTGTTACCAGACGGGGGAACCAAACCCTAAGGAATAAAATAAATAGGAAAGAAAATGTTTTACTTATTGTTATGTACAATCTCTGTAATTCATTTTAAAACCATATATGATTTTGACATCTTCTTCTGAAACTACAGGACCAAAGTATAATCCATTTTTCAGGTTAATAGAGGAATCTTCTCAGAAAGAATACAACCATTACTGTTAAAATTATAAAAAAGTGCCTCTTTTACACTTTTAGAAATATTTTTTTCTTGTTGCTACTAGGATAAAGAATCAACAATAATTAAAATGAATCTATACAGAAAAATAAAACTTAATTTAATACACTATATAAACCTCTTGACTAAATTAGTCTAATTATACAAATCACCATTCCACTCAAACCATTCTTCTGCAGTGTTGTTCAAGATCAGTTTTTTTCAACCATATCTTCTTTCTACATCTTAGCAAGAAAACAAAAACAAGAAAACAACAACAACTAAAATAATAATAAAATAAAGAACAGCAAAAAGGCAAATCCGGCTAAGTGTTTGAGCTCCATCCATAAATTTGAACATAACTTGGAGTCTTTGTGGAAATGTCACAAATGTGTGAGAAAGGTAGGACACAAAAGAAAAATCAGTGTACGTCTTTTTTTGAGATGAGATTGTAAATGGCCGCTGTCCACTGAGAGGAATACATTCATCAGAACAAGAGATCCCACCCACTGCTGCCCCCTTAGGTCAATGTCCCCCTCCGGGAGGCCTACAGTAAGTCACACAACGGTGAATGCAGCTGGACAGGCAGACAGACTGGCTCATCTCAAGGCTCTCCTCCAGGAGGGTTAGGCATGTTGGACAGAGATCCACAATCCTTCCCCAGCCCTCTTCACACACTCCTTGTGTCCGTTCGGGGCCGGGCTCCTCCGGGGCTGCTGAAGAGGCCCAGCCGGGACGGACGGCAAACCTGGGCTGGGGAGACTGGGTCAGGGCACGGCCTCGGCTGGTTCAAAGGGCAGTCGGATGGTTACATGTTTATACAATTTTTAAAGGGCCGACGTGCTCCTTGCACCAGCTGATCACTGAGGTTCAGGTTCAGACCTCCATGAGGGTCAACAGTATTTCTGCAGAGAAACAACGCATTTAATAAACAAGCAATCCAACAGCACGAGTGAATGGTTAACTTGAACTTGCAGAACTTGAACCTGTCTGGAGCAAATCAGCCATATGTGCAAGAGACTATAAACAATTAGAAACCATCTTGGAACACACCAACAGACAGTAAATCACAAAAGCCTGCACTAATGGCCAAAGGGTAAATAATTGAAATTATCTAAGTGCCAATATATTTCTATAATCCTGAAAGGAGGATAAATCAAGTGACAGATATACTGGTATGCTGCAACAGTCTGAAGTGCAGACAATCAAACAGCAGCACCTTGGTTAAATATTCATGGCGCTTTATTGGGCTTAAAAGCATCATGGACAACAACAGTGCATTCCACATACCAAGCTAACAATACCAGGGAGACAAAGGAAGAGGGATTAACTTGGATGACATTAAATAATCACCAGAAATGGGGCGCTGATAAAGTGTAAATATTTGTCCGTTTGCCTGAATTTTCAGTGAGTGAGGTCAGCTGTCTACGTGCGAGAGAAAGACTGAGCTGTCATCTTTCCAAATCAAATTTTATCCTGTGTGTAGAGGGTGTGCAGCTTTGACAGATCTGAGGTTTCCATGTTAAAGGGCTGATTAGTCTTAAGTCCAGACAGGCCAGCCTTTGAACATCATACAGTAACATCTATATAGTCTAAATGGTCTGGCTCTAAAGTGCCCACTGCTTATTACATCATTGTCCTCTAAGTTCAAGTGAAGCATCAGAACTCAAGCTAGAGGAGTTACGTAAACTACTGAGTAAATTATTCACCAGCATGGCTGTTCAATAAGTGTACCCAAACACTTAGGGTCTTACGATAAGACAAACACGTATATAAGCAGCCTGGAGTGCAGAGAAAGAAAGGTGAAGCTTTTAGTTTTTCTTGGTCCCCCGATTACTGTGTAAAACGGTAAGGGGTCCAATTTGTTAACCTCTAAGGCTTAAACTCTCGTGTGTCTACCTTATATTCCTGCAAGGGGCTAATGTAAAAGGACACCCTGAGGAGATTACTGGGCCACTCAAAAACCTCTAATTTGGTCTGGCCATTTTTAACGATGGTTAACTGAACACTTGAAAACAGAAAGCTATTTCTCCAGTGCTACATTTTGGATAATTCTCGACCCACCAGTTCCAAAAGAATCTTCATTTTTATCCCATTTAGAGAATGAATGTCTCAGGATTGGCCTGGTGTTTTTACCTGTTCTTGCCCCATGGAGGGCAAGCCGGGGGAGGGCCCTGAGGCCATGGACGTGACACTCATCTGTCCGGCCATCTGGCCCATGCTGCTGGTTGCCATGTTGGTGGCCATGGAGACGTTGTTGAGGTTCATGCCATTGCCGTTGTACATGTTGCTGTTATTCTGCTGGGTGAACTGCGGCGATGCCTGCTGCTGTGAGAACATACTGGGGAGAGGGGAGGAAAAGCAAACAAGCTGATCAAGATGGGCCAGCTCATTCTCCATTGGGAGCAGAAATGTTTCTTTAGATGCTCTTAGGAAAGTACATGTTTGGATGAACAGATTGAACAGTTCTTTAGCATTATTTAAAGTTTGATGTTTTCCAAACAGCATGTATTACAATTTCTTGAACCACCCGTGCTGTCACTGCTTGAACCTGCTGAGGGATGTAAACAGGAATTATAAGGATGCAATGAGTAATCTGCAGTCATCAGTCCTTTATTTCTCTCTTTTGCCTATCTTGGTTTATATTTTGGCAAATTTGTACGGTTAAAGATATGTCAAATTAGCAGTTCTTGTTTTCACTGTATCCATGGACAGACTGAATGAATGAACATCATGATGATTCTTGGGCAACTTCTGAAGTTATAGGGAACATCATTCTTTCTGTGATTTCTAAAAAGATACATTATATGGACATTTATCTGTAATGGACGTAAGATATATTGATATCCTTGAAAAGTGAATCTAAGGGTCTAAATCAGACACTTAGGGTTTATTTGGGAGTAAGTTCTATCCATCTTTACCTGTTGCCTCCCATGTTGCCCTGTGGCCAGCCGTTCATGTCAGGGGAGCCCTGGAAAGCAGTGTTTCCTTGGCCCTGCTGCATCATTGGGGACTGAGTGTGGGCCATGCGGGGAGAAAGCAGGGGGCTCTGTGGTGTGCCGGGACCTCCAAAGCCTCCGTCTCCCTGTTGGCTCATACCTGTGGTGGACGCATCAAGACAGGTCAACCAGACTGGACCTGCAGAGACGCAACTGCAAACCAATGTACTGACTGGAGCAAATGTAAGCAATCCACGTTATTTAAGCTATCATGCCATGTGAAGACGAACGTTCTGGCAGGGAATGAGCGACTGAGCAAGCATGATTATTAGTATGACTGAAGAATGCCCGTTCCAGTCTGCATTCAGGATAACTGACATATTTTGACAATATTTCCTACATGCATGTAAGCGGTGAACAGGCAATTAACTAGGAATAATGGGAATGGGATTAAGGAGATGGTTTAGGAAAAAGGGGAAAAAGAGAAGTAATGTCTAGTGTAAGTTATCGCTCTGTACAAACCCACAGGCCAGAATCAGATTAAGGAGTGAAGGATAGTTCAAACATGTCATTATACAAATCAGTATTACACTAGATTATCAGATTATGCCCAGATTACACGCCATGCTGTCAGACAGACAGGTACAGCCTTGATTACTGCTCTGCCTGCTCACAATCTTAGGAGTCAGGTGTCAGTGTGTGTCATGAGTTAAGCTTCGATTATGTTCCTGGTGCCCTCTGGTGGTGCAAGAGTGTACAGCCAGGACACCATTTTGGACAGTGCACAGAAATGAGTGTATATGATCCACAGACAGTATATTACTGGACGAAGCCACCCCGCTGATTTGAATGAGAGCAGTGAAGGCAGTTTTGGACCAATAAAATACTACTACAGGACTACTTCCTGTTGGCATCAGCGTCTACTGCGCATGATCGTGCATCATAACTGTAGTTTAATGATGTAGAACAATGGCAGAAACACTGCAATTCTGGTAGCTGCGGGAACAAAAAGTCTCATGGCTCAGTGTGTTTGTCTGACTTGGATCATCACTGATTAATCAGCCCACCTACGAGGTTCACCTGTCAAACACCAATGCAGCGTCACTGATCGCTGTATAGTTTTTTTTTTTAGATTGCCGAGAGTTTAGAATCTAAGCAATACGGTTACATCTCTCATGTGCAACGGGATGTCACAGGGTTTTGACGTCATTTTTGGGCCTACATGGAACCCTCCATGCAGGCTTTGGTCGGGTTCACGGTCCGATCTCTTGATATGATCACACTTCCTGAAAACAACTCATTTGTTGTAAAATTGAAGAGTAACATATGCAGTATGATTTGGATCATTCACTGGCTGCTGATGATAGAGTCATCAGTATGTTACATTACAAATCAGATGATAGCCACAACTAAAGAGCAAGTGACGCTGTGCAACTGGAGTCACGTTGACGCAGAGACACAATGGCGCACGCGCACACACAGACACACAGACACACACAGGTTTTAGGGTTAAGTGTGTGGCAGGGCTGGGTTGTGGGAGCAGTACCTGAGTTGGGAAACTGAAAGGCACTGTGCTGCATTTGGGGGCTGAGTACGGCCCCGTATTGTCCGCCCATCATGTTTGTGTTTCCCATCATCATCTGTGAGGAGGTGGTGGAGGAAGAGGAGGAGGTACCATGCAGGTGGAGCTGGGGGTTGGGAGGGAGAGAGGGCAGGCTGGGGGAGAGAGGGGAGGAGAAGGGGCTGGTAGAGGGAGGTGGCGAGGCCAGGCCTGTACTGGTACCGTAGCTGGGTGGGTATGGGAACTGCTGGGGGTTGGCCTGGGGGATCCGGGGGTTACTCATGCCTCCGCCGGCCATGCTGGGAGGCAGGTTGAGGCCCTGGGCCCTCATGGCCAGGCTCCTTTGCTGCTGGACCTGCTGGGCCTGCTGCTGCCTCTGTCTCAGGTGATTACTCAGCAGCTCCCGCTGACGCTGTGCCAACATCTGAGCATTGATGGTCCCCTGGAAGTGGAAGGGGAATCATGTGTAAGAATAGAGGAGTGCAAAAAAGAAAGTGCGACATAGATCTACGTTAAGAAAGTCTAATTGTGCCTCTGCAACATATACAACAAAAAGTCAATAAAAAACTAAACATTGCCTACAGTTATGCCAGCATGTCTGTGTTGTGTGATGGCAGTGGTGACCTACCTGGTTTGGAGCATTGGATCTAAGAGGTAGGTTCACATTTGACACACTGCTCATCTGAGTCAGCATTGGCTGACGGTTCTGGTGGGATTAGAGACAGAAGAAGAGGTTTAGATAAACACCATCCTCTGATGAACTGAAATATCGTTCAAATCCTTAATTCCTACAAAAATACCCAAACATACCAATTACTTCCAGCTAGTCAATAGGTAAAGTGTACACACTATACCAACAATAAGTATCCTACAGGAGACAATTTGTATTGAGATCATATTACAAAGATTTAATAAAAATAATGATACCATTAATGGATCTAATTCACTTTTTCCCCATGGCACATAAGTGCAACATAATGTTTATTCCAGTAAATGCCGTGAAAGACCAGCAGGTGGCAGGTATACCTAAATGTCCCAATTATTCCTTGTGTGCACAGAAGACCTGCCAAAATGTCAACCTCAAGGATAATTACACAACTCCCATCTGCATGTTCAATCACACCGCTGCTGATCAAACAGCATGGTTACATCACAAAGACTAAATCAATGGACAGTGTCAGAACAGCTTAGATGTACGTGTACCTGCTGTGACTGCAGCCGGTGCTGGAGCTGCAGCCGTAGTGTGTTGGGCTGGTTGGGGACGACACCAGCCGGCCTGAGACCAGGCCGGGCCTGCATCCTCATCATGGGGTAACCTGGCCGTGGACCCATCTGGCCAGGCATTGGGTGGAAGCCTTGCTCCTGCATAGGGGCACCAGGGTAGCCCCTTTGGGCCATGTGGGATGTTGGGGGACCAAATTGCTGGGTGTATATGGGGGGCTTTTGGTCTAACATCATGGAGGGGTCCTGGGGGAACTGTTCTGGGTCCAGTGATTGGCTCTGAAACAGACCACAGAAACAGATGAAAAATTTAGAGCCTAAAAAATTTTAAATAAAAAGTCTCTAAAAACCTATAAAAATAAATGTGACGATGTAGGTTAGGAAGGACGGATCAAACCTGTTCTACCAGAGCAGGGATCCCCAGAGCACGATCAATCTCCTCCAGGCCATCAAAATCTTTTAGTGCAGTGTACAGCTGGGACATTAGGGCGCCCTCGTCTACTCCACTGCCATCACCAGAGCTGAGCCCTGTACTACACAGCAGATCATCCTGGGGAGCTGAGTGCACCGGCCTGGGAAAAGAAGAGACAGAGAAGGTGCTTAGTATATTTTCTCAATGAGAACATTTTGTCCACTATATAACAAACTCTTAAACTCTAACAACAAAAATACTGATATAAGGAAGTCTTATGAGAAGAGAAATCTTAATCTTAAAAGGGACAATTTGGCACTTTTTATGTGGATGTTCAATAAGTATTGAAGGTAAATGCAGTTAACTGATGCCATGAATTCCTCAGTACATGCTGTAGTTGGTGATACAGAAGAACAACAGGCTATTTCAGCGTGGATTTCCAACTTCCACCTCTGTGTAGCCAGGGAGCATGCTCTAGATGCCGCTCTCTTCGCTTGTATTGCAAAACTAGCTACATTTCCAACAGCAAAAATATCATCCCAAAACATGAGTGCAGGGAATATTATGGACAAGGATACATGCTACATTACATTTGGCTGACGTATTTATTCAAGGCTAATGTTGTACTACTGAGGGGCAGTCGAGAGAAACTGTGTTAACGTTACGCAAAAAAGTTCAGCAAAAGTTGAAGCAAACTAAATAACGAGAGTAGTAGGTTGGATACCGGTAACGGTTTTGTCATGTTGATTTTTGTGGAACGTCATACAGCAGTGCTAGCTCAGCTAGTGTTATCGCTGTTGTTATACGGTAGCCCGTTCAGCCAGTGTGTGCGTGTGTGTTGCTGCTGTATGTAAATTGACTTGATAGACATGCCCTGATGGCACTGTTGTGTAACTTTGATTAGCACCCAGCGGCTAGATGGCTCAGAGCTGCTGTGGTGTGTTGGATGGGCGTGGGCATCAGAAGCTTGCGTGCAATGAATCTTAAATGTAGGCACTGATGGCATGGCCCTGTAGAAGAACTCTGCTTTCTCTGTTAAAATAGTACGCACCAAGTAATTCATTGCTAGTGCTAGACACATTTAAATGAACCCTTCAATTAATATCGTTAGTGACATGCAATGGTCAAAATTAGTTAGTTTTGCACTATTAATAACATGTAATCGTAATTTTCAAGTAAGAAGCTTACCTGGCCTGGTTTACAAAAGCTGTCTGCTCAATTGGCATCATGCTGTCTGGCCAGGGGGCTGTCTGGTTGGGTGGAGCCTGTTGTTGGGAGAAATGGTGGCCGGCCATACCAATATCCATATCAGGTTGGGCTAAATATAGAAAGAAAAAAAAACATATTAAGCCATGGTTGTACACTGCTGTCTAAAGTCAATTCTGAATTTCGGTTATCATGAGGAAAACAATATAACACCCTAAATAATGATCAATATTCTCTTAAACCCAGAACAACCAGCATACAGCACTGCCTTTCATATCACATTAATTTCTTGTTGCTGTACTATGGTTGGCCACTGGGTGGCAACCTTTAACCCTCAGCAGCAATAACATTATACTGTAGGTGAGTTCTTTTCCTCTGCGCCTCACCAGTCCCCCTACACCATATTACTATATTACACTACTACAATATACAATGCAGGTGCTTTCATCATCTAATTCTACTCCTCTTTTTAGGGTGTATTGAGCTCTCACCATTAGCCATCATTGGGGATTGGAGCATCTGTCGGGGCCCTTGTTGGCTGTTGGGCCTCATGGGAGTAATGTTTGGCACCATCCTGCCCTGCATGGCACCTTGCTGCCCAGGACCGGGCGCTCCCAGAGGAGGGGCAGAAGCGGAACCCACCCAGCCCTCCTGCTGCTGCATGCCCGGCCGTGGACCACCTGGAGCCATTAGTCCTAAAGGAGCAAACACACATAAGGAGATGAGAAAGAGTGAGCAGTATCTCAGACTGGACTTCAGTGGATATCCTCTGTCCCCATGATGCAATGGTATAATATAAGGGGAAACACCACCTATATAGTACTGGGGGATGTTTGAGGACTGCTAATATGTGGGAGTGACATTGAGAGAAACTTTGTGCCAGCGTGGGTGACTGAACATTTCCTGTCACAGGAAGTGAGTCACTGCGCCGTAACATGATATGTCAGAGGCTGAAAGCGACACAGATAGGGGGGAAAAAGGTCTTTCCTCAGAATTTGGAAAGCAGCAGCAACAACTTAACAAAATAATGCAATTTCGCTTCATCCACTGGTTTTATTGTGACATTGCCAGGTTGAAATCACACAAAAACCTGACATAATGAGTTGTAATAGCCCAAACTGAAAAAAGGCCATTAAACTACTATGATACTACTTCAAATTAATTAAATTTCTAATCAGATTTTAGTGCTTTTAGTTCAATGCCTACTCTAGTCTAGCTCTTTTCTTGAATGTGAGACAACACACATCAACTAAAAGAGATTTCTGTATTTTAGTAACCTTGATGTTTATGTAAACTTATAGACATTTTGTGACTATGTCCAGGACACTGTATCAGACCACACCTATAAAGAAGTCTGTCACTCTGTGGGCTGGTCATTCCCATTTAATGTACAGAACTAAATCAAAGATGGAATCATTATTGGAAACAGACACATATATGCATAACTGTCACACCCACCTGTGTTGACCATACTGGCCTGGTTAGTCATCATGCCGTGACTTCCCACCATGCCTTGCTGCTGTTGCTGCTGTATGAGAGTGTACGGGCTGGTGGCCCTTATGGGGTATTGTAATGAGGGATTCTGGGGTGACACATTCATGTCTAGAGACACGCTCCTCACAGGCAGACCCCTGCCTGGCTGGCCTGGTCGGACACCTCCAAAGTCTGAAGACAGGAATAAGAGTTTTAGCCAAATATGTGACGAGGGAAAACTAAATAAATAAAAAAGTTCAAATGATTTGATTGTTATGTATTTAGAACTTTATATTATTACACTCATGATGGGAGTATTTTCTGAACACTGTAAAGTTTTAATATCATGTGGTCTACTGTGAGGGGGTAACCCTTGTGTGAACTTCTTTGCAAGCATGGGACTCACTCGTTGGGCCCATGCCAGTCCCGATGCCCCTGTGTTGCTGCTGCGCTGCCATGCCAGGATTGGTCTCGGACATCTGCAGGATGTCATTGATGATGTTTTGTTTGTCCATGGGACTGGGCAGCGAAACAGGCCGCGGCTCACAGAAGAGCTGCGGCTGAGCATTCTGCAGGTCGTTCAGGATGTCATCCAGCTCTGACGACTGGAGAGGCCAGAGAGAGGCAGAAAAAGGGAAAGCGTGAAAACCAGAAACAGATGAACCACTTAGAAACCAATTGCTGCATCACCTGCAGACGCACAAATATACATGTGACAGGCATACACATTTACTGAGAGCAAACTTGGTCTGTAAACACTTGGAGTCTTTATCTGGGAGATGGAAACAGCAGGCCTGGCCTTGTTTATATTACAGCAGTTACCCCGGGATAAAATGGACCACTTTGCATCAAATCTAGGCCACACTTTTCTTTGACTTAGCTTATCAGACACATACTACTCTTCACTTACTTTCTGGTGTTCTCAAACTGAAGTCTTTTTAAAAGTCTACAATTTATCAGCACATATGCTATATCAATTTATTTACTTTTGTCCGCATTGAGAAAGAAAAGACAGAAAAGATGTGGCTACTGATGCTGCTTTCTGCTGAGTAACACGGGAGAGCAGCATGAGGCGACAGGAGTTTGATTGGTGCCAAAGCTTTAACTGCTCTCTGCCCCCCTACTGCAAACAGCTGGACTGAGCCTGCCCAGTACAGCCCAAGGCTACATTCATTCGCAGCTGGGCTTTGGACTATCTGGACAGTTTTTGTTTAGTTTTCACACAACTATCTTAAACAAAGACAAGGCCATGCTGTGATCTGGATTCACTTGCTGAACTGAAGAATGAAAAGATTACTGTCTTGGAAACAGTTGTTTTTGTTTTAGGACACAAGCACCGTCTCCTCTGTATTTCTCTCTCTCTCTCTCTCTGACACACAAGGGGTGGACAAAATAGTGGGAACACCTAGATAATGCAGTCGAATACAACACCAAACTGATACAATTTCAAACATTATTATCTTTATAAAAGGCAACATTAATACCAGCATTATTGTATTGAATTTAGACAAAAAAATGTGGGTTAGGATCAAAATTGAACAGAAACGTCAGTAGTGCTTCCTAGAGGGACCTGAGGGACTTTAGATAAATAAGTTGCACTGGCTGTAGCTGCCCACAAGAGTGCAGCACACATGGAATCACTGATAGCTCCTGATCGTGACATACTGTATGGCAGGAAAACAGCACACCAGCCACTGTTCCCATGTACTTCAATGTCCTGCACAACGACATATATCGGTTAGGCATGTTAATGCTATTGAAGATTACAAAGCCGCCAAAAATGCCTAAGAGAACGGCCGTCTTTAGTGGCCAAGGACTAAAACCTACATATTTTTTAATGTCATTTAAGACCTTTTGCTACTCCATCTCCCAAGATTCTGTTATAAAATCATCTCCATATACACAGCAGCAGACACACTGCTGATCACTCTAAGCAGCAGACAAGCATACAGGATATGTGGGAGAGCTAGAGAGAGTAGCAGAGTGAAGGGGTGGGGGGGTGGGGGGGTGGCGGTGGTGGGAGAGAGAAAAGCCCTAATGAGGTCAGGAATGATGTAATGCTCCTGTACTCTCAGTTTGCTCTTTTCCTCCTCCTCCTCCTCCTCTACAATTCTCTCTCCTCCCACTTTCTATTCTGTCGTCTTCTCTACTTGCTTTTACCCTTAATGGGTCCCATTTCTATCAATCCCGGTTACTCTCTTCTGTCAATGCATGTCAGCACATGTAGTGCAATCCATGCCCTTCTTTTCCGCATCGCAGGCTGGTATATTGTATCTGGTTAAAAAAGCGAGATATGTGTAAGGCCAAATAACCATTAAATATTTTGTCTCAAGCCATGTCCTATATACAGATCACTATTAAAGTACTTCACATCAGAAGGGTACTCTCGCTGGAAAAGCAGCTAAAGACATACTGTACAGTACAAGATGCAGTTTGTTTAAGGGTAGATGTATGTTCAATTCAGGCACTCTCTCTTTGTTTATCCCCACACACCCAACAGACATACAAGAATCTCTTACCTAGTTGAAAAAAAATAGTGAAAATGTTACTTAATCCTCTTCAATTGTAGTTACTTAAATACAGATACAATTATCAGCAGCACTTCTAATGGGCCCACTTTCATGTACTTTGACAACGCATTGACTCACTGATACACTGTACACTGGTACACATCACAGTGTTCTTAGAAAAAGCAATGGCCAACTTTGTCACAGCAGGGCGGCAGCGGGGTTCTGCCTAATGTGTACTCTTTAACATTTGACTTGAATCATCTGGGACTTAAACGATCACATCTGTAAATGAGCGAGTTGTAATCATTATTATGTGATCCACTTCCTGATCCCAATTTCAAGTACAGTATGTGCCCTAATGTCAATGTGCACTTAAGGTCAGTCGGACCATATGCCTCTCTGACCGATCCTATGCCTTTTCATAAGAAAGGGAACTGAGAAACAGGGTGGTTAAAGCAGAACTGCCACTGTCAAGTAAGGCAAAAGGAAAAGTAATTTCACCCAAGAATCGTGTTGGCCTTTTGTCAGCTAAAAATACAAAAGGAATTTAACAAAAACAACTTGGCAAAAATCTACCACACTTTCTGAAAGAGCTGAAATGGCAATTCTGAAAGTCACAAGGATGGCTGCAACATTAATTGCAATCCTTACGTACCGCAAAATTTGAAGGTTAGCTGCAGTGTTTGGGAGTGTCACTAGAGAGTACTTCTTGTTCCATCGTTGTTGCTGGTATTTATTATGAGATGAATCTCAATACATCATTTATCATTATTTGTACTAACTGGTTAGTTCTCGATATTTTGGGGCTTTGAAAGAGAAAAAGTGCCATCAAAAAGGGGAAGTCGGTGTTAGGTTGCAACATACTGAATGGTTATGTTTTAATCCAGGACTGGTGATAAAGTAGTATTCCAAGAAATCAGATTTTTACATTTTCACCTGTATAAAATTCTCTTTTCTGATGGCAGCGCCTACTCTTCAAGTAATGGAGGAGCAATTATTAAAAAAAATATTAAATCTCCCTTTCTTATGTTTCAGAGGATTACTGGCTCCACAGTTTTTGACAAACAACTTACCAAAAGGACCAGAGTGTACTCTATAATTACAGATAAATATTTGCTTAATGTGACAGATTTAACTGATGTGATAATGAAGAATGCGTTTACTGTCATGCCATAATACGTTGTAGTATAAAGAGAAACTGAAACATGAACTAAATTAATTACATGCATGTAGTGGAAACAGGTTTATTCAGCCTCAGTAGACAGTGGGTTTACACAACGCTGTTTGGGAACACGAACAAATCAAACACACAGATAATCCTGCCTCCCGTAGGGCCACGGGACTAGATGACCATACCTATACTTCCTTCAGCTAACAGCTAAGCCACTACCACTGAGCTCTGCTCTGATTTCTCACTTAGCTCTGCTCAAGCCATGAATTATTCAGCCCTCAAACAATCATAAGGAGGAGGCAGAGGGAGGACGAGACAGCGGAGACAACAGAGGGCGAGGTGAGTTAAGAGAAGAATGAGTGGACTTTTAACTAGTACAGTCAGCTTTCACTAGTAAAGAACCGAAACACACTCACAGACATGTAATGGCTCTAATGAAGTCGTGGCTTCGATCATGTCTAATGCCCCTTTTTCTGGGTTGGAAAGCTCAGACAGTGAAATCTGTTAAGCCAGAATGAGCTGTCACCATCAAGCTACGAGGGCTTTAATCACCATCATATCATTTGTACGGTCAACACAAGGCATATATTAACCAATTTAATTTTGTTATGTGTAGTACATTGTCCACTTATAGAAAACAAAACCTTCAGTAGCAAGACGTAAATATTAAGACCCTATTTATCCCAATTTCCATTTCCCTCTATTGTTTCTGGTACGTAGCTTGTTCTACAAACACACCACTCCCTCTCCCCTCTATCTCCATGGTAGCAGAGAGGACATGCAGGAGCATATGGCTCATCATTTTCACTCTGCCTGCCGAGGCTGGGCTCTCCTGGGGGTATCTACACCTCTCTCATCTCTCCTTCTTTGTTCAGTTCAACAGCAGCTTTTATTATCCATCCAAATCACCGTTTCCTATTCTTCTTATGTACCCGAGCACATACTGCACATACAGAGCTAGCGTGCTTAGCTAGCTGACATTCTGTACCACTGCCTCTTTTGTCTGCATGGGAAAACCACAGTTTCTTCAGATATGTGCGACCCTTTAAAACAAACACACTGACTCTGGTTAAACCTGCCAACCTCTCTGCAAGTTTCTCCAGACCAGGATCAAGAGTTGTTAGGATAATGGATGAACAAGGATGACCATATTGTTGTTGACATTTAAATGGTATGGATGTCACCTAGACTAATGGCTGGTTTAAGAAGAGGGAGGTAATGAAAGAAGCAAAGCGTGCAAGATGATTCATGTCATTTTGTGTAATTCTATGCAATTCTGTGGTTTAGCAGTGATGTGTGTGATATAACTACATTTGCTAGACTCATGTCTTAACGTGTGTTTAGTAGAGCGAGTCGTGCACAGGTTTCCTTTGTATAAAAGGTTATGGGTCTCAACAAACACTTGTTTCTTTCCTGCATTAGAGAATCAGCAGGCTGAAGCCTCTGCTACACAGAAATGTTGAGTTTTATCAGCAACAGTACCTCCTTACTCCCCTTTACTCTTTCCTACACTTCTCTCTCTCGCTCAACGCCAGGCCTGACCTAAGCAGAGGATTCTGGCCAAACGCAAGCAGGATCAAATGGCTGGAGAACCACAGGGGCTCCTTCCAAATGTCACAGTTGTTTGAAGCTGGCGGAGAGCTCCCTTCAGTTTGTGCTGCCAACACATAGGCAGTGAAAGGACCAGATGTGTTTAGATGTGTGAATAAAAAATAAAAAAAACCTTCCGACACTAAAGGACAAAAACTTAAATCTGAACGTGACTATAATTTTATATATATATATATATGCCACAAATGTCTGTCTAACCTCTACACTACCAGACTGTCTGTGTGTGTAGCTGTAGCATCCTGTGTGGACATGGGACTTGGAGGAGCCAACATCTGCTACCTAACCCAGATTAACGATCAGACAGAGAGAGGAGGCAAGTGGAGCAGTGCAGGGCAAAAAAAGTTTTGGTCTTTGCAAACAGGCTGAAGATAAGGAGGTTACAAAATCAGTTTGAGGGCAGCTCTAAATCTTTTATCATTTCAAAGATGGAAATGTAACAAGCCATTTTTCAAACAGGGAGACAAAATGTTTCTAACACCAAAACACCAAAACAACAATAAGTTCCTTTTAATGTGCACACGAGGTGGCATAAAGATTTTGTAAATACTGACCTGTTCAGCCCGGTCGTATCCTGCGTCCTGTTTCTCAGCCTTGACAAGGGGGTGTTTGCCCCCTTCGACCTTCACTTCCCCAGGCTCCAGCTTAGGGACCTTGTCCTTCAGTACAGTATCATCCTTATCCAGTAGGTAGCGTAGTAGGGCATTGTCTTTCTTCTTAGGGCTCAAGGGCTCCTGCTTGGGTGCAATTTCTCCCCCAGAAGCTGTACTACCAGCACCCTGGGTTTGGTCTTGGCCCAGCTCTTTGCCTGTGGCCTCTGCAGTGAGTTTAGCCAGGTCCACAGGGGATGTACTGTTCTGAAGCAGTTGGTGGAGGATCTTGTGTTTTTCTTTAAGGGATGTGGCATGAGTGTTCCCTCCATTGTGGCCACCCCGGATCCCTGTACCAGCCTGGTCCTTGCCCTCACCTCCTGCGCCAGGAGACAGGGGTGTTTCCAGAGGTTCTGGCTTGGTGGTGAGCAGTTGCAGTAGCTTGGTGTGGCCCTTGTTGTCATGAAGGCGGTTGTGAGCATCGTGGCCCTCGGAGGGCCCTTCCCTCTCCTCCTTAGGCTCAGCTAGGTTGCTCTCTGTCTGGCCCCGGGGGGGGCCCTGACCCACCTCTGTGTGAGGTCCAAATGAGTCTCCTGTGCCACCACAAGCACCATTGCCTCCTCCAAGTTTTGACATTAGGTGAGTGTTTACCCCTGACCCTGGTGTGACACTAGCTGGGGAGCCTATCTTTCTGTCCGGAGACCCCAGTGTGTGTGCATGAGGGGGCCCATGCCCGTGTCCTACACCGTGGCACTCGCTAAGGGCCTGCAGAGCTGACAAAGAACTGCTAGTGTAGCTGTTAGCATGGGTGCTAGTTGTGCTACTACTACCTGCACCTCCAGGCCCTCCACCACACATCCCCACTGGGGAGGGTGAGTGCAGGCCTGTTACACGAGGGCTGCCTGCCCCCCCAGGACTACCTCTGTGCCTGGGTGACAGCATAGAGTTCTGTTGAGGTGGATGGGGCCCACCAGCTGGGCTGGGGCTAGCGCGAGAGGGGCTGTTCATCCTCCAGTTGGGGCCCTGCTGTGGCGGTTGCATGCCCCCAGTGTGGTTGTGTGGTGGGGGACAGCCAAAACGGTAGCCCTGCATATGGCCCCCCATGGCTGCTGGCTCTCTGGGGCCAGCAGGGCCTGGAGGGGAAAAAGGCGTACTGTTGCTGCTGATGGTAGTGTCTTGGCCTTGAGGCCCCGAACCCGGCAAACTGCCTGGGGTTGGAGGAGTCATGGAGGGAGTGGAGGAGTTCATGGGTTTGGGAGCCATCCCTGTGGCCTGACTGCCAGGACCCATGTCCTGGCCCATTCCACATACTGTCTGCTCCCTTGAGTTAAAAACACAGATAGTACATTTGATTAGTTTAACAGTTTTCATTACCAAGATGTTTCCATAGAAAGTAGAAAATTGGACACTGTAAGGTGTTTGGGATTATCCTGAGTAAGTGCAACATTGTTTTTGGAAAAGGGTCATTGTTGATGATTATTTTGCTGTTGTAAATCTACATTGTACTGGTGGTAGAAGTCTCAGAAGCAACTGAGTAAATACTGTCAAAACCAGTGATGCACCGATCTGACTTCTTCAGTCCCGATACCAATACCAGGGCTTTGGGCATCGTTCGATGCCAAGTACTGATCCAATGCCAGAATAAAATGAATAAGCTGTATTCCACACTGTGAGGAAGAGACTGGGAATCACTTTTATCACTCCACCTTACTTAACAACCATGTACCTTGTTACAATTTGTGTCTGTGTTCCTTGGTTGAGATAAGTGAGCTTGGAGAGGGTGGAAAAATACAACATAAACTGACGGCCACGCTGGCAATGGGACTTCCACAATGCTTCAACTTTATCAACCCCAGTTGTATGGCTACGGTCTTATCATATTTCAGTCAAAACAGAGGCTACACATCTTTCAAACGTTACTCATTGAGTTGAGAAGCGTAACAAAAACAGGAGCTCAGCAACAGACATCCATTCACGTACTGCTTAACCTACTCGAGACAGACTGCACGCTGTCTGTTGATGGGTTTTTTTGTATCAAGGAAACACAGTATCTCTTAAACACATTTCACAATTTTGGCTGTAATAACCTACAGGCGACAAGAAACACATAGTTCACCACAGTGTATACAGCCAGAAATACAAAACTAGGCTTGGGCAGTAAAACAATAATTACAATTATTGCAATTTATTTTTTCTCAATAACAAATTTTCAATGTTTCAATTTAATTAATTGAATCACAAACAAATTAGCACTTAATTGTTGTTAAAGGAAAGGGACTGAACTTTATTTAAACTTTTACTCCTGCATGTGTGTTGAAAAATGATTTTATCATAATTGTCTTGAATGTTCTACCACAGATTTGTGAAGTGATCCACTGTTTGGCATCAAGTGTTTGTGCTGACCATAAAGACAAGTTTAAAACCACAATTATGTGCTTATACCAAATGGGAAGGTAGAAAAGTATGTTTTTAATTTCCTTTTTAATTAACTAACCTTTATATGTCAGATTTTATTGTGACCCTATTCCCTAAGACCCAGACCACTAGCTAGCATGAATTTACATATTAACCCATCCACACAACAGGTCGTGCTGCAGGGCAATAACAGGCTAAAACATGTAACCCAGTTCATGCTGTAGTTTTGTCTCTCTTTTTCTGACACAGGTGTAGGTAGCGAGACATACCTCTGAAGAATGTGCTGGGACATGTAGAGCTGGGGTTCACTGGTGGCGGGCGAGCGCACCAGTTTACTCTTGGTGTGGGCTGACACGATGGTTCCATCAGAGAGGGAGAAACGGTAGATGGGGCTGAATGCCTGGCCGTGGCGGAGCACTGAGGACACACATGTTTTTATATGAGTAGATGTGCACACAACATTTCTTGCGTAGATGATTCACTTGTATACGATAATGAGCAACCCACTCTGGGTTTCCCCACTTTGTATTGTTAAGGTTTTCAGCTTTGTTGAAATAGTGATTTGATTGAGAGCCTCAAAGCAGCAGCATATAAGAGACTTTAGCTTAGGTTAGAAGTTGGTTTGACCCATGATCAAATCACTATTTGATACACATGCAGTCGTCTGACACCAAGACCAAAGGAAGGAATTATCAAGAGCCAAGAGTTAAACAGGATACTCTTTGTAGTAAGTGGCATTACCTTCCTGCTGATGTCTCTTAGCAAAAGACATCTCTCCGTCATTCTGCAGGTGGAACCTCTGGATGCAGCGCCTCACCAGATCCTCCCAGCCCGGCTTCATGGACGCCCTCAGGAGACTGGTATCCAGGGATGTTATCTTACCTAAACACAGAGGACCGGATTAGGGAGGCCTTATTCAGAAATGGAAGTAAGGATATCTATAAAACATGCACAAACCAACACCAGCTGAGCTGATGGGGATTGAATGTCTCTCTCCAACATAAATATGTACAGCGGCTATAGAAGATGTTCTTCACTTGGCCACTCTGCTGCACAAAAGCTCTGTAGTTTGATCTTGAAAAACTATTGAGGATTTACTCTATTTACATTCCGAGTGCAACTTGTCAAGAGCTTTAGCTAGAAGTTTCTTCTGTAAGTAAGGCACTGAAATTATCTAAGGTGGCTACACAGAATTAGACAAAGCAAACAGAAGAACAAATAGGGTCAGTGCAAATTGTTGCCATTTAGAAACTCGATACAACAGGTAGAAGGATTCATTTTAAACATCACTAGGTCAGCTTAGTCTCAACTATCTGTCCAAACAAATACACCCATGCTACGTGTGTAAACACACGCACTGTCACTCGTAGCAGTGTAACAGTTTTCCCACAACAGGCTGCAATTTAAATAGAGGCAGTGATGCATTTAAAAAGGGCCGACAAGCAGACTGCTGCTTGAATGACAGCCATAGGGACAGACTACAGCCTTGTCACACAAACATTCATAAGTTCTAATGGGCAAAAGAAGACTGCAGGAGAAATACTTTTTAATCAAAGACATAAAAACCATACTATTGATTAAGAGTCAGATGTTTATTTTATTCATAAATGTGCAATCCTAGCAAACAGGTAAACAAATGTAGGCAAGCATACATGCACACCTACAGAAGTCTAGATGAGGAACTACAGTAAATTACTAGATAGATAGATAGATAAAAAAGTGAGGAACTTTGAGTGTGTCTTGTGTCTGTATGTGTATGCCACACAAAAAATGGTAGCAACACATCAAAGAGCAGGTAAAACTCAGACAACTGTCTGCATTGATGCGCCAGTGTTCAGACAGATACTTTACCTCCCAGAGTGCAGACAGAGGTGGGCAGTGTGTTCAAGTAACAAGTTCAATCCTAAGGGCCTTTACCAAGGATATAATAATCTTTAAATACCTAAACTGTAGTGTGAAGTGATTTATAGGCTGGCGACAAGGGATGAGGTGGTGCTGAGCATGTGCCTGAGTAGAGACACTTTTTGCAAAGCAGCTTTATTCAAACAGCTGTATATGTGAAAATGCAGTATGCAAAGGAGAGCAGGGGATCTAAAATGGCTACTATGATCGCCATGCCCTATTAGCCTCTACTGGACACTGTTTTTCTGTGCGATAAAAAAAAAATACATTTTGTCTGCTGGAGTAAGAAATCAAGTTTACTGTTAATGTTCTTTTTCACTGTATTAGATTGTAGTTTCTGGCTGTGTGACTGGTTCGTGTACCTTGCAGGTCCTGGCGTGTGGTAAAGCTCTCATGCGTGGGAAGCATGGGTCTTTCCTTCATGGGCACCCTGCGAGCCACACAGATCAAGCATGACTGAAAGTCTAAAAGAGAGAGAGAGGAGGAGAGAGAGAACAGAGGGGACATATGGAAGAAAGAAAAGAGTAGGTAGAGGATGTAACAAAGAGGACAGGGCAGAAACAGAAGGGATAAAGGGGGATGGGGAGGAGAGAGGAGAGGGGGGAGGATGGGGGCGTGAATGATAGAGACAGAGGGAGGGAAAGAAAATTAAATGTATGTTATTCCCAGGCAGCATAATTAATACAGTTATTAATGAGCATGGGGATCAGGGCTCTGCTCCTTTCATGAGGAGGAGCAGCCATCACTGGCAAGGGAAATGACGAAGTGTGACCTTTGAAGGCGCGCGCGTGTGTGTGTGTGTGTGTGTGTGTGTGTGTACGTACATGTGAGTGCATATATGCGCGTGTGTGTGTGTGTGTGTGCTCTGCTCACATACAGTGCCATCTCACAGAGACAACACCTCCGTTGGCCCAACATTAAAGATTGCCATCGCTCAATCATGACAGTTGCCTCTAACACACACAGATACATGATACCGCCAAGTCCAGGACTGAGGTGACCCCAAAAGGTCTGCCATCCAACTTTCCTGTGCCAGTAATACCCACGAGCCCACACATATGTCTGGCAACATAATGCATGCCAGGGCTGACACACAAACCTCACTTTGACTTGTAAACAGAGCATCTTGGGTGGTCCGGCACTAAGATCTGTGAATCTTTCTAAATTCTCTTGGGTTTCTTTCCCTCTCTCTCGTTCGTTCGTTAGTTCCTTCCTTCCTTCCTTTCTTCCTTCCTTCCTGTCTCTGGCTGGACAAATTCCTGCAACTGTAACCACTGATCCTGCCTTGCTACTCTCACACATACACACAAACGCTGACACACCTCTGGCCCGGAGCCAAGTCAGTGTATTTGCCAAAGTATGGCTGGCAAGCAGCTGGTGCACAAAGGAAGCCTGAGAGTGAAACATTTGCATTTTCCCTTATTGTTTTAATTAACCACTGAGTTATAGTTTGGCAGTGGGAAATTATAGTGGCTCATTAAAGCCACTGAGCAAATAGGATTTAACTTTAAAATATTGCATTTTTAGAGCATTGCGTATCACTGCTTTTCAAAGTGCTGGGAGTTTTTGGATAAAAAGGACAGTCACTTGTGATGGAAATTTACTCAAAACTACAGGATCTCAAGTTCCCATCTAAAGCCATTAAAACCACTGGAAAAGCCCAGTGACCTCTCAGTGACTGAACACTGTAAGGAGAGCAGAGACAACATACAATTTAAAATCATTTCCCAGGAAAGGGGAGCAGATGTTTATACTAGTGGCTACTTGTGTAGCGTAGTGTTGATGTGCTGCTGTGTTTGAGAATGATTTGAAGGTTATCAAAAGGCAGCTACATCCTTTCCTTGTCCAGGTTTGTGAGGGATGTGCATGAATTATAGATAGGCTTTAATGACAGCTGCCCAGCCGCTCTTCTCCCTCGTGTCACTTAACTTTTCATGGATAGAAGTTGAGTGGCACCAGTGCTGCTCTTCATCAGTTGCTTATACCCCTTTTCACATGCAATGCCAGTTATACGGCTAAATATGGATAAATCTCAATGATCTATTCATAATAAATCTAAATGTAAATGGTTGCAACTGGTTATTGATTATTATTATATACGACAATTTCCATTCTGCAGTAATCATTTTCTGACAGTTCTTAGACCGAAGCAAGCCTCTTAACTACTTTGTCCTAATCAAGGTCTCTGAGGTACACCCCCACCCCACCCCCACCCCTCCCCCACAAACACACACAATCTCCCTCTCTCCTTCCATACCGTCTCCTTCCTCCTTGATGGACTTGGGCTCTGAAACGGCAAAACACTGCATGGTCTCGTATTTCTGCTGCTCATGCTCGTGCGGCTCATCCTGGCTCTCGCTGTGGGGGTTGACCAGCATTCGGCAGTTGAATGTGTGACTGTTCCTCCTCGGACCCTCGCTGGACCACGGGACGCCATTCACTACAGGGGAGCAAGAAGGAGGCAAGGGAGATTTACAATGTGGCTTTCCGGGGATTTTTATTTGATGAATTTTACTGCAGCCAAAGCGAGGAGATCGGGAGTGAGTGAGCCAAGTGAGGCTACCGCACTGAATGTGAAAGACATAATGAGAGCAAGACAGAGAAAATGAAGGCGACAAAAGTGTAAAAAGGAGAGAGCAGTTGCTGGGTAGAGATCAGTCATAATGAGCAGTTGGAACCCAGTGCCATCCTTCCACAGCCATGCGTCACAGCCAGGCCTCCATATGCATGTCCTCTAAAACATCAGTGCCAATCTTTCTTCTTCTCTTCACTTACAGGGGCATGAGCAAACACGCATGCGCGCGCGCACACACACACACACACACACACACACACACACACACACACACAAAAGAAAAAGAGACATGTACAGTGAGACACACACACATACACACACAACTCATTTAACTCTTAGCAAACTCGCATCACACTCCATCTGGTTTGTGATCTCATTCAGTGCATTGATAATCTCCCAGTATCTGGGACACAGCCCACTGATCGTTTCCAGGGTACTCCGCTCCCTGCTGCTCCCCCCACCCAGATGGCGGGGGCACTAAGACCTCAATCCAAGGCACCAGGAGAGAGGAAGAGAGGATGGGGAGAAGTGACTTAGAAAGAGTTGGGGCACGCTGACATACATTACAATCACCTCTTGCACAGAGGATATGGAAAGGTAGGATGTGGAGGAGGAACGGAGGTAGGTATGAAAGAAGAGAAAGGAGATGGGGGAAAAGAAGAGGGTCACACTGGAGGAGAGAAAGAAAAAGGCAAATGTCTGTCTTACAGAAATAAATGGCCTGTTTCCATGAGATGAGCAATGCAAGGATAAAGACAATGCTTTTCAGGGGGAGGCTAGGACATGAGAAAGAAAGAACATAGGAAAATGGGAACTTAGTGAGAATAACACAAATTGAAGAGAGGGGAAGGAAGGGCATGAGATGAAAATATAGGAAGGGAGCAATGCTGCTGACAGGGGAGAGACGCCAAAAAGGAAGTTAATTAGCTGAAAAGGGAGGGAGGAAGGAGAGATGAGCAAGAATGTCTGGGCTGAGCATCAGCAAAAGAGAAAATGAAGAAGCTATAGGTTTTATGCACGGTTCCAACCTTGTATATAAAGCTTACATAACATTTTCTATCAGCCAGTTTTCCCACATCCTCTCAAAAGCAGTTTAACCATAAACATTTTAGCGTTTTAATTGAACTGACCGCTATGAAACAGCCACCTACGAGATACCTGTCTGAACAGGGAGAAGAAGCCAGGGTGTAACCAAGAGCCTGCTAAGGTATAAGCAGAGGTGGGAGTGATGTAACATAGGGGACATACACATGGAGTTAGAAAAACGGAGAGAGAGACGTGGAAAACACAAGCGAGACACAAACTGACAGATAGAAAAAGCCAGAGAGCAAAGCAAATGTTTAAAAAAAAAAAAAAAAAATATATATATATATATATATATGCTTGAGGCTAACCAAGGGACTTGGGCAGCAGGTTCTTGATGAACTCTGCGTGATCCCCGACATGCAGCACGCTGTAGACACTGGTGTTCATCAGCTCCTCCTGGTTGTAACGCAGATACTGGGTCACGTTCTCAGACACAAACACGATGTTCCCCTCCATGTTCACCACAAAGAAAAAGCCATCCAGGGCCTGGAGGGGCAAATGAGAGGAAAAATAAGAGGTTTGTTTATTGATCGTTTTCTTTTTACACATAACAAATCTCTGACAGTGAAGGAGTGAGAAAAAACAGAGAGTAAAATATGTTTGACCACCTGTATTTTCCAATAGTACTGGCTGATCACTAGCTGCAGCTGAGTAGGTTATTAAAAGCCTAGTCCAACCCGGATATGCCCCCCCCCCCACATAACTCACAAGCTAAATATGGTTCATGAACAGGATTTCTACAGCTTATTATCTTTAGTGATGTGCCACTTGTGCCTACGTTGGGGTGTTGTGTATCAGCTAGCATGCACATACAGTACTGAAATGTCTTATCAAGTTGTGTAATATGCACAACATCTACTTTGTACAAGGTGATTGGTACAATGTGTGCTGGGCACATCCATCACTCCTGCAGATGTACAACATCAGTGTGCCTTAAAAAGCAGGATAAAAGCATGTGCCTGCGGAGACCAGAGGAAGTGAAGGAGGAGGAGCACTTAATTGAAAGTATACAGCCCCAGGTCAGCCATTACACACAAGATGGTGTCAATTAGACCATCAAATCACCCAGAGCCCTTAAAGGGAATTCTGGTGGTTGTAAAGCTGTAAAATCGAGTGTCAAGATAAGAGACAAGAGACTCCTGCCAAGCTCCTAACCTCAGCTTAAATAATCATTACCTACACACCACACACAGTTTACATGCACTTTTAACAAGTCATGCATAAGCTATGACCCAAATAGCCTAACATATTTTCATGATATTATGCATATTATTGACTGTTGCATATTTGGTTGTCTTATCGTTCCACAGATACAGGACCCTGTGTACCTATAATCCACTGCCTGTCTCTGTAACTACACTGCATAACATCCCTGCGATCAACCAGCGGGCTAAACTTCGGGGTGTAGCGAGCTCATACACCCCAGGTTACATATGATCACATTGGGATATAAGCTTTCCCTTGCCTGCATTAACACAGCACGGGCTGAAAATAGACTAAAGGAGATCTCATCTATCACTGCATGAAGTGGAGCGCTTCCAAAATGCAACATGGTTGTGTAAGTCCACCATGTGTGAAGAAAGGCCATGTACTGGACAAGTAGGGCAAACACAAACAGAGCAAACACTTTTTAGTGCCAACTATTGCGTTCTTCCAGACAGTCTTGCATACTGCCATTAGCCAATACCTTAATTTACAATGCCCTGATTAAATATACACTGTAGAAGTGACTAAAGCTGATACAAATGAATACACTCTTAATAAACATAATCTACGCCAATGTACTCTCCACGTTGCACCTTTATTATTGTTTTATTATTGATATATGACTATATTGTTTAATCTCCCACAGCAATGTACAGCAGGCAGTGAATTGTTGTAGTGCAGGGAATAGGTTCTGGTCAACTTCCCTCTCCCCTCTGAGTGTTACTAATATTTATGATACGATACGATACTGGTGCTTTGCAAACAGGGTCTCTCTTCACATAAATTCTTGCTAAACATGCTGCATTATAGCATGACAAAGCATTACTGTCTTTCTAAACACAACAGGTCTCTTGTGTGGCTCAGTATTGAATGTAAATACTTTTAAAGCACGGAGAATCAACAATTGTTGAGTTGTGTTTACTTATTTTTTAATGATATATTTACAGATTTAAATATAGTAAATACTGAAACTGTAGTATAATATTTGTATCATAGTGGCACTAGTAAATTTCAGAATATACTCAGTCCTAGTCTTTAAAGTCTGAATGGGTCTCTGACGAGGTCGTCATCCTACACATCAGCAACCGTACGGAGCACCCGGAATGCAAACTATATGCCACAACAGTCATGTGACAGGACAAGGCTTGCTCCCACAAGATTAAAACAGCAGCAAACTAATGTTTTCTTTCACTGCCTTCTCTGTGCTCGTGCTCTTGCATGAGAGTGGGCAGCAGAGAGGCCTTTGAGGAGGGTCATGGGGCGTGTGGGTGCATTTCCTGCCGACAGCCATTCTCCTCAGAGCATCCTGTAATGAGCCCGGGCTGGCGGACGGGGACATGGCTAGAGCAGGGAGGGTGTGAATGGCCGATCGCAGTGTTTTGGTGCTGCTGACAGATGGGAAAGCATGCAGGCTGCGCCGGGCTATATTTAGCCGGGAGTTAGTATGTCGATTCAGTGACGCTGGACCAGGAGAGCTATAAATATTCCATGACAGGACAGATCTGGAGGCGAATGAAGAGAAGATGGAGGGAGAGAGAAAAGAGAACTGAACAAGTAAGAGAGAGAAAGGGAGGGAGGAAGTGAGTGAGAGGACAGGCTCAATGGACTGATTCATTCGCCAGGCTGTTGCTTTCTTTCTCATTATACGTAAGCACTTCAGTGGCCCTCCACAGGACAACGAGGCCATTGCTCCGCTCTGTGATTTACACCCAATCCAGGGCAGATACAAGATGCTGGCAGCTTTTACTGCACACAGCTACACTCATGCACAACCACTACTGGCCTATTTGGGATTGGTCTCTGTGGATAACACTCTTTATTATATTCCAATAGTGATTTAAAGAGGAGAATATATCCTGCACGAGTGAGAGAATGAGTGTTCAGTGTGGGGTGTTTAGATATGACACTATGAATAAGCACGACAAGGCCCTCTACCCACCTCCAGCATCATTGGTCCCAAGGCATCTTTATCAATCACACTTTGGCCTGTTGATGAGACATCAGCCTTCTGTACCTCCTCCTCATTTGCTGCCGCAGCCTTTTCTGCAAACAGGAAAGTTAATGACAAAAGTTTAAAAGGCAAAATGTGTGATTATGGGGGAACAAAACCGCATCGCGAAACACAACACCAAAACATGTAGGTCAAAGAAAAAAAAAAAAAAAAACTAAACTAAAAGAAATAACAAGGAGGAAAACAATTTTTGCTTTGCCCCTAAAATTGACCTACATACTTTTAAAAGAGGTCAGTTGTTGACAAGACTTAACAAGTATCTTTCTGGCTAACACAGCAAACACATTTTGTCCCTTTGTCAGAACATGTTGACACGGCTCAAACCCAAGCACTGAGCAGCAGGCAGAGTGAAAGGTTGTCGTAAATGAGTGTGTCAGAGCACGCAGCTGCCACGCTGGTGGTAGCCACTGGATGGCTTGCATTGTCATGTACCAAAAAAAAAAAAAAAAAGGGGGGGGGGGGGGGGGGGGCGGCTATTACGGAAACACTGACTGTGTGTAAACAACTCATGTCCCCAATAGAGCAGCAAGTTCTTACTATGTAGTCAAGAAGCAAAGGCAGGACATAGAAATGTTTACCCAAAAGGTTGACCATAAACCTCTCTCATTTTAAATCTTATAAATCCTGTGGTCACAGTTTTGTAGACTTTAAGTGTATTTTATATTCATCAGATTACTAATAGTAATTAAAACTAGAGAATTAAAAATAGGGATTTCGTTCTAGGTAAATAACTTCCTGTGATTAATTAAGAGACGTGATAGTATGAAATCTTGACAAAAAAAAAATCAAATATACCTAGACAAGAAATGGCTCAACAAAACACTCAACCTCTCTAAGCTGGTCTGAGGTGTTGTCACAGCAGATATACAGTATGCTTGTGATTCAGGTCATAAACTATGAGCAAAATATGAGTCTTCATTTTGTCCTGTTCCTATAGAACCACATCTCATTTTGGAAACTCTTCAGCATTTGATGCTCTTTAGCCAGGTGTTGCCTCCCTTGTCATATGCCTTTTTAAATAACTGGCAGTGTCTCCTTGTAACCTGTACGGATAGAGAGTAGGGCTTGTTGCCTATACAGGTACGTATAGTCTATAATATTACCAAACTGGATTTTAGCAAAACACAATTACAATAATTTGACTAGCTACACGCTGATGTTTCAAAATAATAATAAGAATAGCGCCTTTGTATCCACTGCCCAATATACTGCCACAAAACTGAACGCAATGATTTTGTGATTGGTTTACTTAGGAGTGAAACAGAGTACCCTGTAAGCTCCTGTACCTGCACTGTGATGCTGTGCATTTGTCCATGTGAGTGATTGGGTTAATAACCATGCAGAGAAGCCTTATGTTCAGAGCGTAGGCTGCCCTACTTTTGGAGAAGATGATGAGAGGCGGAATATGAGTGGGCTGTTGGGGGGGGACACATTTAACTGTCACACCATGCCAAGAAGAGGGCTGACCATATGGTGAGAGAATGTTGTGGTGAAAAGCAAACAAAGTCCATGTAGTTTTTTTTTTGGTGTCGATGTATGAAAGCGGATGCAAACGCAGGTTCCCCCCCCCGCTCTGTGGGCTCGTGCAACACTGCGCACACCCACATTCATCTCTTTCAGCATTAATGATGTGTGCATCAGCAGGACCTCTCCAGGCCCAGCGGGACCCAGTATACCAGCACAGCTGCCCTGGGTACAGACCTATCACTCAATGTCAGTGCAGCACTCACTGGCTCTCTGTCCGTCTGCAGAACTGTGCCGCGGATAGATTTATAAGGGTAATAACTACATAATCTGTAACTGGCAAGTCATTTGCTTTATAACTCTATTCTTCTCCCTCGTTTAACATTTTACATGTAGTGTATTTTGACATTTTTCACTTATGTATAATGAAAAAAAATGTACTAAACCATCTGCTAGCAGCAGCTCAGCAGGTACTCTGCATCTCAGCCTCCAGCCAATGAGAGCTGGTCTTTGTGTTGGCAAGAGTAGTTAAGAGTGTAAAGGAAGGTGTAAAACTCTTGGCTATGCCCTTATTTTATAGACTCTATAAACATATCATTACTCAACACATTGTCTATTAAGATGCAACAAGCTGGAAACAGAAAAAGCGCCAAACCTATGCTAAGCACACAACTCCACCCTGATTCTAAATCAGCGGAATGTATGCAGCCAGCAGGAGAGGAACAAACCAGGATGAATGAACAGCTTTCGGTAGGAGGCCACTTTTTCAAAGGCCATCGTTGCTGCATTGCACTTCTCTGCAAGGCTGTGACACCAATCAGTGAGAGTTATTAAGTCACATTACAGGCCTATAGAAAGAGAGATTGTGTACTACAAACAATCCTTAGAACACAACACTAAACAGATGGCAGATGAGGTGTAATGAAAAGAACAAATGGTGGTGGTAAACTGCTGTAACATCCAATTTGAGCATAAAGACATCTTAAATGAGCTTTCAGTGCATCCCTTGTGCAACAACAGGTGCAACAAGAAAAATGACTGGCTGCTGAAAATGCTTCCCCTCTGAACCGTGCAATATGAGATGCAGAAGCTCCCCGTTAGCTATAAAAAGGTGTCTCTTGTTGGCCATTGAGGTCGGAAGAACAAAGCAGAAAAGCAAAGACTGTTTAGCCCTTCCCTCTGTGGTTCCTGTAAAAACACAGTGAAGCCTTCACAGGCAGGCAGGGGATGTCACTTTAGCCTAGTCTTAAGAAAAAGGACAGTGAGGAAAGAAAGGGTTAGAGAGAGGGAGAGTGGAATAAGACAGTAGAGTGGGAGACGGACGGACAGAAGGTAGCTAGAGTTTGTGATTTTTGCATCACATTGCTCACCATTACATAACGCTTGGCTCTGTGAGTCACATAAAACAAGACAACGTCATCAGCCGGACTGATTCATGTACACCACGAGTGGGCTTCTCTTTGTCTACCAGTCACTCAGCCGCTTCTCTTGTATGCAAGGTCCGAGTTTATTCACAATTTAGTATTTGTCTTAACATTTTCACTAGAGAAAGTTACAACCCTTTTAGCTATATTAGAACCTGTAAGAAAAAAAAAAAAAAAACTTGGATTCCAATTATCATCTTGGTCTAGCAAATCAAACATTTAAAAAAAAGTAAAGTACTTAAAAACACAGACCTCAACACATTGCTTAAGAGTGCTAAAAAGGAGAAGCTGGCAAGTACACCTGAGCAGGCTGATCCATTTGCCTGATGTTCTGGCTCAGGGTGGAAGTGGGAATGATCAGCAGCCAACAAAAAACTGCTCTGGTTCATCCGCATGATATGATGAAGTGATGGAGGGAACATTAAATCAATTGTGCTGCTCTTTAATAACAACATCAATTATTGTGTGTGGAGCAGTTCCCAAACCATAATATTTATGCAATCAAATATGATGCTTCGTAGTGCCACCTGTGGCCCTTTTAAGGCTCCAATAATAACCACAACAACATCCTAAGGGTATTTATGATAGGATCGCAAGTTATTCACAAGAGTAAACAGCGACAAATCAAACCAATGTTAAATTCATCCGAAGGTATTCATTTAGGTTTGGTATATTACTGTGCTGTATGTCATAAAACCTAAAGGGAAATACCGTAGATGAACAGATATTGCAAATGAAATGCTTCAGAAAAAGCAGCCAGCTGAAAGGTAACTCAGTATTCTTTGGCTATTACTTCAGAAGATGTACATAAAGTGTAAAAAAACAAACAAACAAAAAAAACATTATAGTTTGTACCTTGCTCCTTTATTTGTCTGATCTGTTTCACAGTTTCCTTCAGGATTGCACATTTGTCAGGCTTGACATTGAAGTTGTCGATGTCGTTAAAGTTGGCGAAGATCAGCTCGGCGAGCTCTTCGATGTATTTGTTCTCGTGCTCGCGGTTGCGTTTCTCGTTGCTCCGCTTTGGACTACAGAAGCAAAGAGAACACTTGGGTGAGAAAAGCAATGGAGAAGACGGTGACAGAGAAATATGTCTCTAGGCCTCTTCAATGCACCAACATGGAGCACTGCATCAATAAAGAATCCCCTTATTCTTGAACGCTTAACTACAGATAAATTATGCAGATTTATTGTACAGATTTCAACAGTGCTCCAGAGTTAGCTACCTTAGTAGCATACAGCTATTCTACTGGGACTACTGGAAAGCTATTGTATACAGTATTTCCAGATAGCAGCTAGAACATGATTTTACTTTAACCATGTTCAAAACTCAGTCATCATCTTAGTTACAAAGTCTTACAATGGGTAATAGATGGTGCAGGAGGGTTGGGAAAGTTCAGTGGGCAAAATGACGGAGTGGTTGAATCTGGACCTGACCTTTTGTTGCATAAAAATGTCCCCCACACTGTTGTCATAGCTTTCAACAGTATACAATCAAATCAAGCACAAATGTCTCCAAATGGGGGACTTTTTAAAAGAGAAATCTGACTTTTGGCCAGAGGTACAAGTCTTACCTGGGTCCTAGAAGCTCGGCAGAACATTCTTTGCGTTTCCGTGACTCTGCCCTGGCAGGGTCAGATGAGTTTTCACCGACTCCACTCATCCTCAATGCATATCAGCGTCTGGAAAATAAACACACAGAGAAAAAAAAACATAAATGTAACTGCATGACACTGATACACGTAAAACACACATACAACATGTGATGCAGCAACATCAAAACGCCAATAGCAGATTTATGTGGATACACTGCAGGTGTGTGAGCACGCCAGCATGGGTATCTGCATACAACACACACATTCACACACACACCCCAGCGCTGGGGGCACAGGTTGATCCACTCCAGGAGAAATGAGTGAAAATGGAGCGGAGAAAGAGATTCAATCATTTCTCTCTGATGGCGCAGCTCTCCCCAGAGAGACTGAAATGAGAACACGGCGCTTTGCCCACAGCACCAGACTGCGTGCTCAACCATGTACCAAGAAAAACCCATTCGTTACTCGATACCAAGCAAAGTCAGCTGACAGCAAGAGCCGAGTGGGTTTATAATCACAACATGTGTCCGTATTTACTGAGTACCTCTGATAATACTTTACCTGCAGTGCCTTGTAAGTCACTCAGAAATCAAATGTGACAATATCTTGACAGCTCTTTCTGAAATCAAGTGACAAGCTGGCTGTGGCAACCCACAGCCAGCTCTTTCTCTTACAGATACCTTACACACTGCAATTAAGACAAAATGCCAATTCGGTTATAGCATGTGTTCTCTCTGACAACGAGAGCATTTGGAGACTTTGGCCAAGTTTGTCCCTTTGCAGATGTTGAGCATCCATAATCAACATATCTTTTATTCTGCTCCTCCTCTTGCCCTCCAAGTCAGCACAGGCTGAACTTCCTGCTATTAAATGAAAGAAAATCAATTATTGATCAAAGAAATGGTTTATTAATTACCACCATCATCTGCACCATCATCTGCACCATTATTTGACGGCGGCTAATGGGCTTGGGTTTCAATATAGGACGATATCTGCCACATAGATGATGTGAATGTCTTCCAAAGGAAATAGTGACATTTAAAAATATGTGCAAGACAATCATTTCTTCTCGGTTCATGCAAGATTGGTGATAGCAGCCCTTTGCTTTAGAGGGTCATTGGAGGAGGGGACGAGAAAGACAGAAAGAGACCTAGAGACAGAAAAAGACGATTTTTTCCCCCAGCACAGTGCACAAGGTTGGGGCATGCTGTGTTGTGATACACTCACAGCCACTCTAACCATGGAAACGGCTGCGACACACACCGCTTACTGCTCAGCCATTACATAAGGCACAACAGAGTACAGCACAGCACAATGCAGAGCAGAGAGGAATAGCATAGCTTAGCAGAAGCAGGCTAAACTAAAAAAAAGAGAGCTAGTGACCATGCAAACTTGAGTCTGGATCCCTCCTGGCCTGGAATGACCTACTTTAAGCTAATGGTAGGGCCTGTGCTCAAAAGGATGAAGCCAAAGCAGTGGTGATTGGGCAGAGAGGCAGAGGAGACTCTGAAGGGTAAAACACATTTCCACTGTTCTGTTGACAAGTGACTTGAATACTATTGGGCTGTACAGTGTATGGACAGGTAATGAACACAAACGTCACGGTACATGTGTCCTTGCATTATGCCCTTTTGAATGCCATCAGGTAGGCCTGGGCGAAAAATCGATTGAATGAATTAATTCGAATTTTTTGTTGCGGGCGATTTAAAAAATAAGTAAATCGAGTTTTTGTGTAATAGCACATTTTTGGCTCCCCGGGGTTTCCGTAGTGTTCGTTTCCCATAGCGACAACATCATACACTAAACAGCAACAGCAAGCGACAAAATGGCTACCGGTGAGAGCGGGAAGTTTGTTCCCAAGAAAGGAATAAAGTCATCTGTTGTTTGGAACTGGTATGGGTTTGCTGCGACAGATGTGGAACAACAGACACCACGCTGCAACATTTGCCTAAAGCCTATCGCAGTGAAAGGCAGCAGCACCACAAACCTATTCCAACACCTGAAACAGAGACATCCAGCCGAATATGAAAAATGCCAGTCTCTCCGCGATGAACAAAGCCGCACTGACCAACAAACCTTATTGCTTTCCTTAAGTAGGGGGGGAAATCGGAAAAAATCGTAAATTGAATTAAAGTAAATAAAATCGGAGATTTTATTTTTAGGCCATATCGCCCAGCCCTACCATCAGGGTGTCTTTATGCTGTCCACTGAAATTGCAACAGTCTCCATAGCAGAGGTTATGTGCTTTTATTAATGACAACAGAAACAGGCCATTAAACTCTCATAGCTAAGTGGCACTCTCCGCTCCTATTGGTCGTGCCTGGGCTTTCCAGCACAAGTTACCATGGGGATTCTAGACCTGATTGGTTGCGCCTGTCCCGCTGGGCCGGATATGATTGGTTGCCTACGTCTCCTTGACATGGCAGTAATGATGGGTCAGTGTATGTTCAGACAAATAAGAGAGACTGAAAAGTACCAGGCACGTCTCAATGACACCAACACAGACAGCCAGACAGCTAGGGCAGCAGGCTGGCAGGCTGTTTTTGTTGCTGGGAGTCCGATCTTCATATGGGCAGACTAGCGAGGGATTTCTAATCCTAGAGAATGCCCTGGTTCCCCTGGCAGCTATAAACAGCTGGCCACTGGTGTTGGCACTTACTGTACAGAGCTGCATCACTGAGTTAATTATCAACATCGGCCACTAGGGGAGTTGCCTTTTCTTGCCAAGGCTCTCGCAGGTCACATGGAGGTCTGAAAGTCTAAAAAAATAATATCTGGTTTAAAGGATGACTTTAATCGTCAAACACAACCATTTTTTTAGCAATGAAAAAGAAATTGTACAGCACATTATTCTATGCAGCAGTCTGTTACACACTCGACCGCGAACAACACACACCGAGTCAGAGACGTCAAGGCAGTGATGTTTAGGGTGATCATAATGGGAGATGATGATGACGCAGACAATCACGTTTATGGCTCTCAACGCAGGTAAGGCTCCGAGCTCAGTCTGCGAAGATACTTACCAATCTCCCTTCAGTATGAAACACTCATGCAGATGATTCACTCACTCCTGCCACTTTGTGACTGAAAAAAGAACAATCAATTTCACCTCGTTAAACTGAGCAATTTCAAAAGGGAACCCAAGAAGCCATGTCCCACATAAGTAAGAGGCTGCGAGGACAGCAAGGCTCAATCATGAGTTCCCCGCTGTGTACACAACAGCTCTTTAACCTGCCCGAAAGACTTATGAGAGAGGAACTTGTTTTCAAACAAACTGATCTTTAATACTCACAATTGTTAAACTGTGGTCGAAGTTTGGTCTAGCTAAATCGGCAGAACATTTATAGCCTTGATTTTATTCACTGCAAATGACACAGTAATATAACTAAGTGTTTATAGTAGGGGTGTAACGGTACATGTATTCGTACCGGACCATTTCGATACAGGACTTTCGGAACGGTGCACATGTCCACCGAATGCAGTCTTTAACGTCAAATATTAGGCTTGTTGTGTGTGTGGAACATATGTAAATTCCGAGTTTCCACACGGACGTATTAAGTGGCGGACCAAATCTCCACCTTGCGGCACTACAGAAGCAGCCGCTTTAGCCCAGCCTCTCGCTAACTAGTGACTTAAGCATCATGGCCAGTTCAGAGAAGCCAGAGCTTGAAACCCCTCCCTTATTGTTAAGGTCTTCTGTTTGGGAACACTTTGGTTTCTTAGTGAAATACAACAACGGACAAGTCGATAAGACGAAAGCAGTGGGCCGCCATTTCTCAGTAGGGATCGGGTATGTTTCTGGCAACACGTCAAACTTGCTAACTCACTAACGGTATCACACGAAGGAAAACGTCACTGCAACAAGGGAAAAAAACAAAAACGAGCACAGTGCAAACGCCTTTCGACATTTAAACAGACTTTAGACTTCGGAAAAGTTTTTTTTTTTTTTTTTTTGAGCAGGCCTTCAAACTGGGATTGATAATGCTCATATACAGAAAAAAAGACTAAGAAGAATGCTGCACTGTAATCCATATTATTATATAATTTATTAGCTATATGTGGTATTGTTTTGCGAATGTTTGTTAGTGGAGAACTTGTTAGTGGTTTGCAGCAGTATTTTATTTATTATTCTTTTTTATTTTATATAATTTATTTATTATGTATAATTTGGAGGTTTGTTTAAAAAAATTAATCAACTAATTTGTACATTTACAAAAGTTCATAATAAAATCAGCAGCAATTTAATGTTTCCCTTACTGTACTGAAAATAAACCGAATCATTACTTCAAAACCGAGGTACATACCGAACCGAGATTTTTGTGTACCGTTACACTCCTAGTTTATAGCATTTAAAAGAGACTAAATTACATTACGTGAGTACAGATCCATGCATGCATAAGAGACTGTCGGCCATTGGGACACCTGTGCTGTGTGCCAATAACATTGACTCAAAGCAATGTAGGGTATGTGGGGGTTGGGTAAGTAACCTCATTACGTATAGGACTGATTGGCATATTCTGGAAGGCATCTACCACATTTGCAGTTCTTCAAGCTGTCACTTCCTTTTGTTCATTAGTACTGTATGTTGAGACATATGGCTACTTATGTTAGGCGGTGTGAAATCATTGTTAGGATAAATGGGAATTCACACAGGCATGATGAATGAAACATCTTTTCAAATCAAGGGCAGTACTTCAGCTGGCCACACCACACTTTTATTAAGAGTAAGAAAGAGTAAAACGAAATAGGTAAAGGGAAAAGGCACGGACAGTTTGTCAGCTTTTAAAAGTTGAATTCAAAGGAAATATCAAAAGAGATAATACTATACTAGTAACAAACACGAGTCAAGAAAAAGTCTGTATGACATCCATTTGTCTTGAAGTATGAACTGCTATCTACAGTTTGTCCAACTGCTTGCTGTTGCTGGCAACGCACTGGGCAGACTGATGATCATTGGGAAAGTACAACCCAAATTTGACTGGAAATAATGCCTGGGGTTTCTGGAGCAGATAGCCTTCCATGCGGTTGTTTTGCTACTTTGAAGTTGTGATGAGCTTAGGTTTCCACTTACACAAGTGTAGTACAAC